AAAGGCTTACCTCAAATGTTACAGCATAGGTGTAAACGATTGTTACATCCTCTTTAAACTCCGCTGGTACTTCCATTGGGTTTCCTGATTCACATTTTGGATCGTTTTCATCTACTTGTTTGATGCTGTTTGCACAAAATACAAAAAGTCAACTTATGTTAAAATGTAATTGTTAAGAACAAAAGCCAATTGTCATTTAGATCATAACCTTAACTACGTGCGGAGCGTCTCAGTGCATGACAACCACTGTATGTTTGAACATGTTTTTGTGTACTTTAGGATAAAAACAGGAAAAACAAGCCAGATTTTAACTGCAGCAAAAATGATAGAACATATGGATATTGACAGTTAATAAAGTCAACTATAGCCATTTATTGTTAATTTCATTTTGATATAGTAACAGTTTCCAAATTGTCAGTATGTCAACCAAGCTCATTATTCCTTACTAGAAAAACTTCCAGTCAAATATATCCAGATTGTAAGCAAAGGAAAACCATAGTAGCCTTCCAACCAGCTGACTGGCAGTGAGCAGCAACAGAGACAGACAGTGGAGCACTTTGTTGCACTCTGGTAGCTCTTTAGTCAGTAAAAAGGGTATGAATAAAAATTTTTGCGGTTTTTAAATCTGAAACTATTGAAAACCTCTGCATACATTCATGCTGAAAGGTGACACATGCCTAAATGAGATGCATAAAAAAAATTTAAATAAATAAATAGCAGCTGATTATCCATCCACGTCCAATCACCTCTTTGGTTCAAGAGTGGCAGCAACCAGGCGAGAGCCTTGCCAACCTTCAGGTTCTCCTTTGTGGTAAGTGATCTTTATATCCACATGGTTGAAAACATAAAATGTGTTTTTCTTGTTGAACTCAGACTGAAAAAAGATGAAAATGTATCTGATTAGTCAACATCCATTCCAGCTTTAACTTCACTTGAACATATTAAACTCATGCTATTCTGTGCAACAGGTGAAAGTCATCAGATTTATTTAGTTCTTTCATCCTACTAATGTCTTTCCTTGGTCCTCCAAAATAAGATTAAAAAAAACATGAAAGCACAAGCAAAATTATAAGTACAATCACCAAAAAAAAAAAAACTAAAGTGTTTTTAGGTAAATTAATCAGATCTGAAGGTTCATTCCTTTATTAAAAAAAATTGTATTTAATAGTTACCAACTAAAACATAAACTAAATGAGAGTGCATTTAAAGACAATAAAATCAGTTAGATAAAAATGCATTCTTTTTTGCTGCTGACGTACACTGTCACACTGCTCCAACAGGTATCACTGGTTGGTAAAGCCAAACTGGTTACATTGAGTGTTAGCATAGCTTAATGAAACCAGTTTTACAGTCACTAATGCTGTTCATACAAATTTACTTTAAATACACAATGTCATCTCTGTTGGTATTCCTTCTGAGGAAAAAAAATTACTTTAAAGAAAATAGTTATTAGCTGCTGTTTATTTAATTAACATTTTTATAATAACACCACTTAAAAATCCAGAAATTTAAAAAAACAAGAAACCACAACTCACATTAATTACACAGGCATCTTTCGCTCGACCATCTGATGTGACAAGGCAGCCAATGGGGAAGCCAGGGTTGCAATACTTTTGACCGTCTTCAACGTCATAGCACCATGTCACTGGCATGTTGTCGATAATCCTTAAAATACATTTACACTTATAAAGGTTTGCTTAAATACTTTCCTTTGTTCATTTATTAAATTTCTCTAAATTAGCACTATTTGTTAAGGAGAAACTCTGCCACTAACCAGTGATGCTGGTAATTCAGCTGCATTCCCATCTTGAGAAAATCCAATTTCGGAGCATCATCTTTGTTCGCTGTCTTGTAAGTCTTGGTGCAAACTCTCTTGCATTTTACATCTTCTTTAAACTTGAACTGCAGAAGAAAAAAAAGAAAAGGCAAAAATGTTTGTTTTTTAGTTGCAACATAGATAAAGATTTGGTCGAATGAATGGTGCATCTCTGCAAACATAGAATGAATGAAACAAAAAACGCATTTGCCATCATTCAGGCTCTCACCTTGTAAGGGGAAGACTCAATTCGCTCACCAAATAGCACCTGTCCCAGGTTCTCAGATGGCCTCTTCTCATGGTCATCTTTGCAGAAGTCAAACCTTTAGCAAATATTTAAATGATCATCCACAGAAAAATGATGATACTGGTCAAGAAATTTAGTTAATCTAAAATATCAAATTACTTACATATCATACTCGTAAGGCAGAACAGACTCCACTGAGTCCAAGCGATTAACAAACAGCTCAACCTGCGTCTGTAAAGAAAATACTTTAAAATTTAACTTTTATAGAACATTTTTAAAAAAAAAAACATAAACTAATGAGCCTGAAATTATCGAGTCCCAAATGGAAAAATAATTATCACGCACAGAAACTTTTTTTAATGGCATTAGAGCCAAAACCACGAGACAATGGCTTTAAATCAATTACTAGAGAGACGAAAACAATACAAAGTGCCTAAACATCATCACGATGTGCCAGTATCCTGTTCCAGAAATTAGCCGGGGCCTAGAGGACAAGTGGCTAGCTACTGCTATTTCTCCCAGTTGGAAAAAAAGATGTCAAAAACACACGGAAAAATATAGAAACTCCTACTGGTGAACATGTACAGAACTTATTAAGAATTGCTCCACTGAAAGAAATCATACCTGGCATTCTTCGGTCTCTTTATCACAAAAACTCACGGGAGCTAAACCCGGAAGATAAAAAGCCGAGCATGAACTGAAATATACGACTAGCAAAAAGACCAATCCAACTGACTGTCGCGTCTTCATTTTAACGCGGGCTAAGCTCTCCAACGCTGCGATATCTTGCTGTTAAAGGCGGCGTATCCCCTAGTTTATAAAGGCCTACTGTTCACCGGGTATCTACAACTGGCTAAAAGCCGTCTTGCTAACTACGGACACCGATCCAGGCTGACAACGTCCCACCTCTGTCAAGCTATGCGGATGTCACGGGGTTTCCCCTTCAAAGTAAAGGTACGAAGGATTCGTTCTGCTCCAAACGTTTGATTTCTGTGTTTTAAGATTATGCAAAACTGCGTGTAATACAATTTGTATTCAAATGTTTTTAATATGTTTTACTTATATTATAATGGAATTACATGGAGGCTTAAAATGAGCAGATATATTTGCTACTTGAATTATTTTGACAGGCATCATATTTTGACACCGTGGAACTTTACGTTGCTTGTCAGCCACCATCAACACCCTTGTTTTCCTCGTTTTTATATCTGAACTGACTTACAGGGAAAACATAAAGTACAATTGTGAAAATGTGCTAGAGAAATCTGAATTTTTGTAGAAGAGAGCAGACATCGTTTTAAAAAAATTGAAGAGGGATATTCATTCGTAAATTTGGGAAATAATGTAAATGAAGGATGACTAGAAAAACCTGAATGATACGTAGCGCTTGTAGAAGGAAACGGAAGTCCACAACTTTGCATGGCCTGTGGTGAAAGTTTTTACTGAAATAACTAAAATTTATTTGCTGGTATTATAGTGCTATTCTGTGTCTAAATAATCTGCCTATCACCTCAAATGATATACATTTTTCAACTTTATTTAGTTAAGCTTTAGTTCTGTATCAACAACTGTAACTCAAAATTTAAGTAAACAAAATGTACTCACAATCTGATCCTGGGATATATTGCAAATATTGATCTTGAGAACTGTTCTTTGTAATTTAGCCTAATTTCTAAGGAGTCATTCATAACATAGATAGATAGATAGATAGATAGATAGATAGATAGATAGATAGATAGATAGATAGATAGATAGATAGATAGATAGATAGATAGATAGATAGATAGATAGATAGATAGCTTTTGTAGTTGGTCAGCAGGAGGCAGTTTTCCATCCTCTAGTTACTGAATCCCCTTGATTGCCAAGTCCTAGTACTCCATTCCATTTCATTCCTGATATACGCTGCAATAGAAATATTAGCAGAGTACTTCTGAATGTGGCAGAACTCAGACCTGTCTGTGGTGTCCAGCATAAATAGGAACGAAACCAGAACTGTTCTGTGAAACTCCAGTGTTGCTCTCCACATCACAGAAACACAGTTTCATCTGGAGATAATATGGAATAACAGCAACATTTCAAAACCTGGACATACAATTCAGTCTTTCTCATTTACTGAAAACTAATAATGAAAGTGGCCAAAATGTAGAAAGTTCCTAATTTAGAAATATTTGTTTTTACCCCCAAACCTTCAGGTTTTTGCTCAAAAAGCAGATTAAGAAGACACATCCCAACTGTAGAAACAATCTCAGTGTAATAGTACATTTAAATCAACAAAAGAAAGGCTTTACCTGAAATTAAATTAAGTTTTGGGTTTCCCAGCCAGAGTCCAACTAAATTTACCCATCACCTCTTTTCAGTGCAATGTTCAGTCCCTTTCAGTGGAAAGTTTTATTTATAACTTTTAACACTGATTCGTGACTCCTCGAGGTTCATAAATTGCACAGATGTCACAAAGTGCTTCACAAAATGAGTCACCCACAAAATCCACAGAAAGCTACAGAGCAGAATAGAGAACACAATGCAATCATAAAGGACTAAATCTAATTAACAGCTTCCTTGAATTAAAGTGTATTTATTTGTCTGTAGCAGTGCGGAATGACCCAGTCAAAATCCAGATCCAAATCCTGTAAGCTGATGTCCACAATCGTTCTCCATTCAGTTTAACAGAGCTTGAGCTACTTAGCAAAGATAGACAATTTTTATAACCTCACACATTGTGAAGTGATGTTCATTCAGTCTCTTAAGAGAGTGAAAAAAATGGTATGAGTGGTTGCATGACTAAAATATCAAGGGATTAAAAAAATAGTATTTCATAAGAACCAATAATGAAAACGATGAAACATTAAACCTAAACAGAAAATGAGTGCGATACTAGAGCGGTTGCAGATGTGCAGTGCCTTGGAGTGCCACTAGGGGGCAGGCATATGTATTTCAGCCGGAAGAAGGTAAACAGAGGAAGAAGAGCAACCGTTGTTCACCATCATTGTATCCTCCTAAAGCCTGATCATTTTCGTAGTTCCTCGTTATATCACGTTGTTAGCCTGCATGCTTTGAGTAGACTAGGTCCGTGTTGTTTTAAATATTTCACACTTGGCGCCTTTGTGCTTTTAAACCGCAGTGTTTAAGTGTTTTTTTTCTAGCTCGTGGGGAAAGTCGTCTAACGTGAATAACTGTTTCGCTGATATTGGTGGCGCGTTTATCGCCATTTTGCGCGTTGAGCGACTCGAAACCAGCAAAAAGGTATTCATTTAGCAAATTATTCGTTTTTAAGAGCGGTTTTATCGTTCGTGTGCAATATTTTCCGTGTGATAGTTGACCCGAACGGCATTTTCTTTGTTTTTTAGAATGGCCGAAGCAGACCGACCGGGGAAGCTCTTCATCGGTGGACTCAACACAGAGACCACCGACAAGGCCTTGGAGCAGTACTTCAGCAAATATGGCAGGATCGTCGAAGGTGGGATTGACCCCTCCACAAGTAGAACTCGATTTTAATTTTCTACTGATTTGGCACCGCGTACAAAGCTTATGTGTTGCTGTAATTAATACACACTTGAAATTTTATATTTTTAGTTGTAATATTACAGTTTAAATTGCATCTTTTTCTTTTAACAGTTTTACCAATATTTAAAATAAATACTGCAGACTTTGTATGAACTCGGATTGTTTCATTTTCACTTTCCATAGATATGAGTGTTTTTTGTTTTTGTTTTGTTTGTTTATTTTCAAAATACTTTGAGGGCCCTTTTGAAAAGCTAAATATACTGCTCAAAAAAATAAAGGGAACATTTCACTTTAATTTTGTGTGTGGCTCCAGATCCAGGCCTCCATTGGTTACTAAATTTGATTTCCATTGATGATTTTTGTGTGACTTTGTTGTCAGCACATTCAACTTTGTACAGAACAAAGTATTCAATGAGAATATTTCATTCATTCAGATCTAGGATGTGTTATTTGAGTGTTCCCTTTATTTTTTTGAGCAGTGTAGTTTATGGATGTATAATTAAATGCTGAAATATTAAACTATTTTATTTCCTTTGCCCAATTACATTAAAGATGAGTAGTGTTGAATGCCCGCTAAGCCCCAAAAGTTGCTTAAAATAGGAGCACAGCATCTAGTTATATCAGTAAATTGTTCAAATAAATGACATAATCCAGGCAAAGGATCACATTTGTCACTACATAATCTTTTCAGAATTAGTCATGGGTTAAATATTCTGGCTTGGTTTAATTGACATAGGATGTTTTTATTTGTATTTTTTTAATAAGAGTTTAATCTTGAGATTAAGTCACAATTTGTCCATTTTTTTCTCCCCAAGAGGCTCTGGACATTGCACATACTAAATCGAGGCTAATTGATCAAATATTTTAATTTATTTTTTTAGTACAGGTACTGGAAAATGGCTGATTTAAAAAAGATAATAATAATAATAAAATCCTAATTCAGCCAAACAAATCAAGGTTTTATCAGACCTAAACATTGATAAGTCCTGACTGTGTGAACACGATACTTGGTATTTGGCAACATATAGATTTTGAATGTTATCAATGGTTTTAGTAAGTCATTTCAGCACAAACTACATCTGCAGAATTCCAGATGGTGACACATCAACTCTCAAATTAGTAGTTTATACTAAACTTTCAATCAAAGTGTTTTATTGTTTTTTTAGTTATTATTGCAATTCACAGGATGCAATAAAATATAAAGTAGTAACAAACTGTTATGCCTTAAATCTGAAAGTATTTAAAAAAATTTTTTTATTTTTTTAAGTCCACTTCTGGTCTCACCTTTTTTGTTTTTATGTTTCAGTACTTCTAATGAAGGACCGTGAAACAAACAAATCAAGGGGCTTTGCTTTTGTAACCTTTGAAAGTCCGGCTGATGCAAAAGATGCCGCCCGGGAAATGAATGGAAAGGTGGGTCTTTGTTTTTCTTCAAGATATTATTTTTTTTATAACATTTTGAAGTTCCGATTGTAATTGTAACTTTTTTTTTTTTAACCAGTCTTTGGATGGGAAGCCTATTAAAGTGGAGCAAGCGACAAAGCCTCAGTTTGAGAGTTCTGGCAGACGAGGGCCGCCTCTGCATTCTCGAAGCCGGGGTCCTCCCAGAGGGCCCCGCGGGTCAAGAGGAGGAATGAGGGGGCCCCCATCCAGAGGTAAGATGTTAATCAGAATAAGACGTTTTTTGGCAAAGTTTGCACACAAACTAGGAATTGGACTTTGGTTTCCTCTCGATAACACAGGCATTTTTAAATATAGATACCTATTGGGGAAATTTAAAAAGGTGGGTTTTTAATTAACTTGGATAAATGCTGAAAATATGTCCATCTTTTAAGACTACTATGATTCAGAAGATGGAGATGGCTACTATAGTCGGATGTCATCCAGAGGTCCGCCAATGAAACGAGGTCCACCAGTTCGCAATGGGGGTCCTCCACCCAAGAGATCGGCTCTATCTGGTCCCATGAGCAGACGTGAGAATTTAAAACAGTCTCAGAATATGCATTTCTTTTTTTTTTTTATTGTCTCCCAACGGTTTGAGGATATAACTGTTAACTTATTGTCATTTCAGCTCCCATGTCCAGAGACAGGGATCCCTATGGCCCTCCACCCCGCAGAGACTCCATGTCCAGGAGAGATGATTATCCATCCCCAAGAGATGACCATTACAACCCTAAAGATGGGTAGGAAATATCAGAACCAGGGTCTATTGTGAATTATTTCTGAGCATAAACAGGAAAATTTACATAAGATTAAAAAAAAGATTTACTAAAATATAATATGTTAAAGTTGTTGAATAAACACTCCATAAACACTTTTATTGTACCTTGTTGTTGTGATGAACCTAAATAGATCGGTCCTGTTTAATGGTTTTTAGATACTCCAGCCGGGATTACAGTTCAAGAGACCGGGACTATGGACCTCCTCCCAGAGATTACTCCTACAGAGAATATTCTAGTTCTGGCTCCAGAGACGACTATGGCTCAATGTCAAGAGGATACAGGTATGCCTGTCACTGTAACATATTTTGCTTGACGATAAATTGCCCAGAAATGATTGTGATGAATAATATTGTATTTTTTTGATAAAATTTGAAAGTAATGTAGTGATAAAGAAGTACATCAAAGCTCAAAACTGTAATTTCTAAGTAACGGTTAACACTGGAACTGAAAGAGATTTTAAACATCCAAAAGAACTAAACAAAACAACCAAAAACACTAAATGAAATTAAAATAAAAACCTATACACATCCGAAACCATAAATAAAATAGATTATGAAGTTTCTGTATGTAAAATTGTCCTTCAAAGATATCGATCAGTCTTTGGTCTCATACCAGGAAAACTTCCAGATAGGACCTTTATAAACAAAAGTGCAAACTAACAACAAAAACACTCCATTTGAATAATTCCACTTGTGTTTTCTGGCTTGTGTCCACAATACCCTGTGCCTGGCAAGCAACTGACACCAGAGTTCACTCCTCCTTCAGCTAAGGCAACAAGAAGAGAGGGGGTCAGTCAGGTCAATGCACTGGAGTGAAGCCTTTTGTTATCCAGTCTGGTAGAAACAGAAACAGGAAGAAAACAAATAAGCAAATTAAAATGATTGGGTTTATTTTAATAATTGATGTGCTTAATATGACAGGCGGAGATACAGGTTTGCTTTAGTTCCTAAGGTTTTAAGACATTCTTAAAATCACACCTGCTTGTCTAAACATAATGGGGTTATGTTATGTTTTTTACTAAGCGACCGTGATGGTTATGGAGGTGGCAGAGAGCCGAGGGGCTACATGGATCGTCCCAGTGGTGGCTCCTACCGAGATTCCTATGATGGTTACGGTAAGATACAGCTCCATGAGCTCAACAAATTATTACCGTCACACAGGGAAAAGCTGCAAAAATAAGTCATGGCACAGGCTGCAACAGAAAGCTCAAGTTCACTACCTCCCAACAGAAGAACGTTCACCCTGAACAAACCTCCAACTCGCACATTTGTATGTAATTCAGACATTGGCTTCTAGGCTAAAAGCAGAAATTTGTCTAAAAGCTCAGTCCACACTGTCCAATTCCTATATTTATCAAAAGTGTGACAATTTCAGGCAAAGACACAATTTGATTTGACTTGACGCAGAGTATGCAACTGTAAGGATCCCTCAGAAACCTTGGAAATGTCCATTAAGTGTTGCCTAGCAAAGCACTCGCTCAAGGATTAAACTTCACAAACCTTCAAGACAAGTCAGAAAACCTCGTCTCTTTTCTTCACCTGGACCTCTTAAAGGAAAAATGGCTTCCCGAGTAAATGGCATGCAGAAATGGAGTAACACTACCCACTTATTCAATGTAGAAGATATTAATTTTATATCAACTGCAACTGCTCATCAACTAAAACATCCACATTAAATGTAGAACTCAAACAAATGGAAGATGAAAACAAAAACAAAACAAACAAAAAAACACACAACCCATGAAATTTGTCACAGGATGAGTTCTATTGGCAGAAAGTGCGCACTTAACGCTGCAAGTAATTTATTGAAGTTGAACCATTACCTGAACCATTACCTGAACCATTGACCCTGCAGGTAACTCTCGCAGCGCCCCACCCTCACGGGGCCCCCCACCATCCTATGGTGGAAGCGGTGGAAGCAGTCGTTACGATGACTATGGCAGCAGCTCCAGGGACGGCTATGGCAGTCGTGACAGTTACCCCAGCAGCCGGAGTGACCCGTACCCTCCGAGCCGTGGAGAGAGAATGGGTAGGCAGGAAAGGGGCCCCGCCCCCCCTGGCGAGAGAGGCTACCCTCCTCGTGACTCGTATGGCTCAAGTCGTGGAGGGCCTCGCGGTGGCCGTGGTGGCGGTCGGCCTGATAGAGGAATGGCTCGCAACAGATACTAAAATGGACTTGGAAGTCTCATTAATGCAAACTTTGATCTTCATACATACTTGACACATGTTTTGGAAGAAATCTGGTGAATACAAACAGACAAAATGTGTCTTAAATCTGTGACTTAGGAAGCTTAGCTTTGTATCTTTTACTTTCCCCGTTTAATGTGTATTTTTTTTCCCTTTTTTAATATATAGTATTTCTTTACCTATGTCACAGTGTAGTTAAGTGTTTTTGTCAGTTCAGTGTGAGTTGAATCTGCAATGCCCTAAATATGGCTTTCATACGCTAATAAAGCTTTTAGTTGAAACTCTACATCTGCTCATCGATTTTTCACCTCAAGATTTCTGACAAATGTGGGGAAAAAGTGACGACACCGTCTCCTTTACAAAGTTCTGTAATCATAGGTGAGTCTGTTCGCACATGTGATGGAGTGGAATGAAATATTAAACAAAATGTGCTTCCAACTGGACACTACTGTTTGCCAGATGGGGAAATGTTACTGTCAAAATGTTCCAATGTAGTTCCCCTTGGAAATGGATCCATCACCCTAGAGCAATTTGATGACATGCAACGACAAAACCAAAGGCAACAAGCAAACACAACTCGACCGATAGTCATCAGCTGGTAAGCAAAGCAAACCTTTGTTTCTCACCTGTAAATGAGTTTCTCATTGTCCTGTATTACAATCTTCACTCCAGACAACTTTTGCCTCAGGAAACGCTGCAATAAGGAGGTCAACTGAAATAAGCGCTTTTAATTGTTTTATTTGGTAATTTTTTTAAGAGCAACAAACCATGAGGATTCCTTCCTTTTGATCAACAAGATTGACAATCTGAGCCCTCGAAACAACTTTTTGCTCAACGAGTTGTGCAGTTTCAAAGAATTGGCATCAGTATTTTTTTTTGACATTAAGCGACATCTAGTGAAAAACGTTTTGTCTTAGTAAAAACCAAGCAGGCATAAATTCTGTTCAGTAACCAAACCTCTTCTACAAGCATGCCCAAAAAAACTGGAGACCCGTGGAGAAACGCCATCAACCCAGCAGCCAAACTGGAAAAAAAAAATCATACGGAGAAACTTGAAGTTGGATTGAGAACTACAATATCTTTATATTTTATTTTTCAATACACACTTAAGACAAGGACAATGTTAATTGTTTTTCTGTGTTGCAGGATGAACATCAAAGCAATGGCTGCTGAAATAAACCAGTTATATCCTCCAGTTGTTGGACTGATTTAACCAGATCATCTTTAATCAACCTAGGTATGTCCAGCACATATGACAACAGCTGCTTTGTCAAATATTACATTAGCATGTAAAATTGAAGCATGTAACATGTGGAATATATATATTGGCCAACATTTTTTGCACCCAGTTCTATGCAATCTCAATGTTGTACACTAATATTGAAACAATATGTTGTGCTGCCTTACTCCCTCTTAAGCACAGACTGTAAAGCCAGACCTAAACTAACAACAAGTCCTCCTTTAACTGAGTATAAACTCATTTATACACATTTTAAATTGTTCCTGATTTGTAAGATGAGCTGAAACTTGCTATCATTCTATAGATCTGTCGGCTTGATTTAATTGTTCGTTCATTGCTTTTCAGGTGCCGTTGCAGCCCACCGTTGCAGGGGTTGACTGAAACCATTCGACTGGAAGAACCTGTTGGAAGTGGGAAGAGTGCAGACTGAGGACTTGGTTAAATTTGATATTTGTTGTGTTTTAAATAAAGTCTTTAAAATCAGTTTTCCCTTTTTGTCTCGATACAACAGTGAAACTGGGAAAGATAATTCAGTAAAGCAGTTGTAATATTTCTAAAAGTAGCAAATCAGAATTTTTCTTCTCCCCAGACTTTTTGCAGCGATGCTAACCTTCGACATAGAAATACTTGATGAGATCGATTTAAATATTAGTCTGTGCTCTAAAAGTTTAACCCAGTTACACCAGTGATACCTTGAAAATGTATTCACACTCAAACTTTTCCCTTTTCTGTCACAAACATTAAAGTGCTTTGAGGCTTTGTGTGTTAGACCAACACAAAGTAACATAATTGTGAAGTTGGCGGAAACGTCACCACAACCATGGCCTGCATTTATGTTCAGGAGTCATTTGGAGAATTATCTATCTTTGCGCTTACTGCTGCAGGTTTTTGGGCCTTGTCTGTACCAGATTGGCATGACTAGACTGAATTTTTTGCCCATCCCTGAATTCCAAAGTCTTGACACAAATTCCAAATAAATTTAGGTCTGGACTTTGACTGGACCATTTTATTTTTACTAAATTACTTTCTCAGTCTGCTGTGTTCTGCAGGAGGCTGCTAATAAATATTTTATATAATTAGGTGAAGCTGTAGTTTAATGTTTTAAAGTTATTTTTTTCTTCCACTTTATTATGTTTTGTTTTGCTCTATTCTTGTACTATACAGCACTTTGGTTAAGCAGAGTTTTAAATGTGTTTTTCAGATAAATTGGATTTGGGAATAAACATCGAAAACATAACTGAGAAATTACATGCAGGTGAGATAAATATACAAGTTAGCTTATTCCTGAAAGCAACTGGACTTTATTTAGGCCCATTAGTGTAAAAATTAATCTTCCAATCCAAACTCAAATGATTAAACTTTAAAGAACAGTGAGAGAATGTGAATTTCACATTTGCAAGTTTCCTAAATCAGTTGCAAAACACCCCGTCAGGCTTGTTGCAGACCTGCTGGTTTTTCCCCTTCATGCAAAAATATGCTGATGCCTCTAAGATATCAGTTACTTTCCTTATTTTCTGAGCCTTGGCTCATTTGTACTTGATGAGACCATCTGCTCTCTCTCACAGCATGTGCTGCTTTGCAGGGGGAAATCCAGCACCCTGTGTATTGTTGAGGTGCCTGTTTGCCAGTAGGGGTGATCATCAGTTTTGCATGTAGTAACTGCGTCGTCCAACCCCCCCTCTCTCGCCGCCTCGTTTTTTTTTTTTTTTTTTTTTTTTTTTTTAACTTCTAGCAGAAGTGCGGATGTGAGTTGCATATTGATACGGAACAGGCCGCCACTTTTCTGTTTTAGCAATGCGGGCTTAGGCGATGATCATTTTGTGGAGCTATGAATCCCGAGGAGCAGACGGTAACGTGGTTGATATCGTTAGGAGTGCTCAGCTCGCCCAAAAAGAACATAGCGGACCCGGAGGAGTTTCTGAAAACATCACTCAAGGATGGGGTCGTTCTGTGCAAGCTCACGGAGAGACTCATACCTGGCTTCACGCCCAAGGTAAGCTGCTGATTTATTAAGTAAACAAATGTCAAACGATCGACTGATCTCGGTGAAAAGAAGGGAGGGGTTTGATGAAAGTGATACCGACAGGAACTTCTGTCTGCAGCCCTGGCCTTGCATTCTCTACCCGTGCTGTAAGTTTTGACAGCTGAACGCTTTTCTGTTACTTCTACAGGGAGTGCTGCGTCGGATTAAAGTAGGTTTTCTGCGAGTTTACAGACTACAGATTTCAATAAGTGATTTCCTGTGGGGGAAAAAAAATGTTCCGCATTCTTGATATGACTGAGTAGGTCAGTGTGAACACCTACTAAAACAAGACTAATTTTGCCATAGGAGTGCACCAAATAGTTCACACTTTCAATAGTTATTCCTGGAGAATTCACCAGAGCAAGAACATCTTGACTTTTTAATGCGATTAAAGTGATTTTGTATGTTAAATGTGGAGGTAACAAAGTTGATCATGATAACAGTTGCAAATTCAGGTCGTCACTTCCTCTTGAGCGGCTGCTCTTCCCGGTGTTGCGTCGAGATGCGTTTCCCCACCACTTCTGCCCTTCTGTCAAGCTATTGCGCGTCTTTACTGGGTTTTATGGTGGAGATTTGGCGCGTTCAAGTACACTTTGCACACTAGATTATCTATGGTGAAGAAACTGTGAAATTAAATCTTCAAATCATATTTAAATGTTTACTAACGCCTCCCCTCTCAACACTTAGCATTTTTAAGAAGTTGTACCTTTAAACAATAATTTCATTAAATTATCTCAATAAAGCTGGACTCCTTTGATCTATTAAATGCAATAAAAACTAAAATTCTAAAATTTTAACATGATCTTGATTAAAAACAAGTAAGTCATTTGTTTAAATTGTTAGAATATTTTAATACAGAATATTTAATTAATATAATCTGTAGGGGAATTTCAGAGTAGATTGGAAAACTGCCTATGCTCATTTTGTACAGTAAGGCTCTGGTTGCCTCACTGTATTTATGTATAAGACTATACCTATAGTAATTTTTTTCAGACGCATGCAGGATGCTGTATAAGCCAGTTGTAGCCCTTGAAGTTTGTTTTGATACTGTAATAAAGCATAAAAATCACTTCTATTTTTTCCACATTATATAGTACCTGGAAAAAAAAATAAAGTTTACAATTAAAAACTACAAATAATTATTTGAAGAATAGCTTCTTTTTCATAAAGCTCATTCATTGGAATATCTGGCTTCAACTGTATTCTTCAGTTGCATCAAAAGACATGAATGTTGAGAGTAAATCAAAGTTATAAAGGCATGACAACATCCTCATCTTGGATTCTTCAAATTGTTTAAACCTGTAGTAATCTTGGTGTATTTTTTTTTATTATACTGGCATTTAGCATCTATATAAAATTTTTCATATTAGACACAGAAATATAGTGTACTTGACCAGAATGAAATACCTAACATGCTAAATATGTGAAAGTCATTTGGTTACTTATGTTATTTTTATTCATTTTTTTTAAATATATTCATATGTCCAATAAATAAGCTAATGACTGAAATCATAATATTCTAAAAATGCCTTTGGAGTTTTACTGAAACTTTCAGAAACTGTGAAACTGTCAAAGACGTTATTTATTAAGTGTTTAATAAAACCACTGTGATATTTGAGCTTTAAATAATCATTATCATTATCAGTACCTACATCTTTTATTGCGGTGTTAATACTGTAGCCGACAACTACACCTGAATGCACCATGTCGGCCGTAAAACGCTATTTAAAAGCGTAGCTGGTGGGGGAGCGCAACTCTACGGCTTGATGAAACACTGCTGCGACCTGCTGTACGAAACAAAATGCAACCGGAAGTTGCAGCTTCTCTTTTCTTCCGAGCTATTTTGGTTTATCTTCATGTTATTACTCCTAGATCCACAGCGTTTACGTAATAAGTATGTTCTAGCATTGGTTAAAAGGTGAAAAGCTATGCCTTTCTTTCATACGTACTTTGTACTCGTTGTTAAGACAGACCTTTATTTTGAAAGTCTTCAAAGTGAGCGGATGTTTTGCTTAAATGTGGCTTCTTTGGCGTTTCTGTGGCTTATGACGGCAAGGAGGAGATTCATTAGCCATTCAGTAATGTTTGAAATTATTAGGCGCAACATTTGATTGGGTTTACAATCTTGTGGGGTTTTGTTCCTTCAAAGTGACACTAAAACTAAAGCTCTGACGGGCCAATGTGTGTCATATGCCTGCTTGGATTACTAAACCGAGGTGTGGGTTGATACATTTATTTTTTGTGCTCAGTATTCCCAGGATCCAAGAACAGACGCTGACTGTATCTCCAACATCAAAGAGTTTTTAAGAGGATGCTCGTCGTTGAAAGTGGAGGTAAGTTGCCTCAGTGTCTTTTTATGATCATTTTCTGTCGGCATAGCTTTATTCTGCTGCAGACCAAAGGGAAAGCTTTGATCACACTCTTTCTTGTGTTGTGATCTGCTCATTAGGTTAGACTTCATGTTTACTATGGACTAGGGAAGATGGGAATTTTTTTTATTATTTTTACTCTCACCACCTGATCCATTTACTTCAAATGGCAATAATTCACTTCCTTCTAAGTTTACTTTCTCTTTTACATTCCTATGTAAATTAACAAATAAAAAAAACTTGTTTAATGTTGTCACAGACATCTATTCCAGGATTTTGTTTTAGAGAAAGGGAAGTAATTATGCTCCGTGGTGTAACCTTGACATTATTATTCCATAAATATGAACAAATATATGACATGACCTAAATGTCATGTCATTTAGGTCATGTGGCAGAAAAAGTAATTTTTACTGCCACTAAAATATTTATATTTATTTACTGATTCTTACAGTCATAACAATATTGTTCTATATCTAAAATTATTTTGGTTTAAACAATTAGTTCAGTGGTATTTTTCAATTACAGAAAGAATAACACAAATAGCACCGGATTGCTATGAGATATGTTAGCCTATGATTACAATCTAACAGTCATATCTACTCCTGCTGAAATTGCGTCACTTACTGATTTATAATTATTGAAACAATGTTAGGGATAATATTTAGTGTTTTTTATTATTATTTTTATTTAAAGAGTTCAGCAAATCCCTTGTCAGTTTAATAGTAATTTAAAATAAACATTCTTGTTACAAAGTTGGCGTATAATATACTTATATTAGGTGATTATGTAGGCATGCTATTTGTCCTGTAGGCCATTTTAATGTACAGCTGTAGACTTTAACAGTGTTAAGTTAATAGATTGATTAGTGGTGCTCCTCCAATCTCCACAAAATCACCATGTTTTTCAGAACCAGAAGTATTTTAAAACTGATTTTATTTTTTGGTAAGCAAATAAAAGCATAGTTGTAGTCTTGTTGACTAGAAGTGCTCAGCAACGGGTGGGGGAGGGGAATGGTGCACTACTCTATGCTCCATACAGCGGGTAGAAAAGGTCTCTGAACCTTTTACTTGCTGGATTTAAATCATAAGACCAGTATGATGGACTTTCTTTTTAATTTTGGAGAATAACTTTTTAAAAAGCTCTAATAAACCTTGATAACAGTAACTCACCCATGCTGAAACAGGAATATAGTATGTTGATATTTGCTTATTTATTTCTTGGTTTGTATGTTCAGTTGTAATATGAACCGTTTCATCTTCATAAGAGTGATTTGTGCTGCTACTTTAGTTTCTGTGATCATGACCTTACCATGTTTTATTACAACTGGAAATGTTTTTTTAACAACAACAACAAAAAAATGCATATCAACAAGTGAGGTAGCATTAAACACCAAGACGTGTGTGATGGTAACTTTTAGAAACTTTATTAGACTTTGATGGGACAACTAAGCACAAACCAGCTGGGAATTTTTCCTTTATGCAAGAGAGTCTTTCTCAATTCCAGCCAGTTCTACACCGTACCAGAACAGCGAACATTAATGTCTCTCCCAGTCTGTTATAAATAATCTGTTGTGGTTTTGAAACACATCACTCGCTCTGTTTAAGCAGCGATTTGAGTCAGCAAGCTTGGCTCACTTTAGTGGTTCAGTAGTCCTGCCCAGCTGGCTTGTTATGTCTGGGAGGTCCTCTTTGCTTTTTATCCACCAACTCTGGTTTAGCCCATAATTAGACGTTCTGCGAGCAGCCACTAGGTCACTGGCAGAAGGTTTCTGAGAGGTGCTGTCAAACGTATCAGCCTGGGGATGACTATGTGGCTACTTCTAACCCTGCCCTTCCCTCAGCGATTATGGTATTTTCTTTTTGCCTTTTGCTCTGATAAATAAATAATGCCTGGCTGTCCAGTGCCTATATGAAGAAAGCTGGGTAACTGCTTTCACTTCTGCTTGCAGATGACAAGGAGGAAGAACCGATTACCGTTCATGGCCTGTGATTTTTTTTTAATCACTGTTGTGAAATGTGAAAGATGCATTTGCCCTTTGTTCATACGTTGCAACTGTCATTTAGTGCAACAACTATTGCAACTCAGGTCAACATCTCATAACTAGCACAGTTAAATCCATGTTAAAAATCTACATGACTGACCCATCTACTGCAATAACTCCATCGTTACCAGAAACAAAGCACACAGCCTCTATTGTTGCTTCTTTTCATTTTATTCAAAACAATCATACACAAGTTTTTCTCTCTGTTGATTTCATACCTGAACACGTCACACACACAAAAACGCAACTAAAACACAACTCCTGAATCTGCTGTTACAGTGCTCAGCCTCTATATTTAAGATGTTTTATTTAAAATGTGAAACTTTATCCACTGGAGGAAAGACGATAGCTGTCTGAGTTGGGCTAACCTGGCACTGTGAGTGCAGGGAAGTGGAAAGAGAATTGCAAATGAGTGTTTCTCTGTTTGTTTTGTTGCAAAAAAGGGGGTCAGGTTCAAAATATCTGTTATCTTTGCCTTATAATCACTTTATGTATGCTGCATCGGTATAGGTCTCCTTCTTTTGTTTGTGTTGCATGGAAGAATAAGAGTCTTGTTAGTGTGAATCACGAAAGCAACAAAACTCACTCTTCCCTGTAAAGGAGCTAATTTTGACCTACTCCTTAGCCATGTTTCTGCCACAGAACCTTTTCCAGGAACCTATGGTTGGCTTTCAGGGCCATAATTATCTACCCTCGGTTTCCACCAGATCTACCAGGGGGGTATTACGCAAAACTGACTTCTTAGCACTTTATACCATGATGCATGTTATTCCCTCATCAAACATACCTGGAGTGTTTGTGGTTTGCATGAAACATTCATGCTTGTTTGACAATCCTTGAATCTCCCGTGGCAACCATTAGGCGTTGGGCGCCATCTTTTGTTTCCAGTTCTAGTTAGCCTTCCAATAGTTGGCTTATTGCTACTAATTTTCCTACTTCCATCTGGAAGACATGACACTGAGATGTGACGCCATATCTGGATCTAAACTCTGATTGCAGAGATAAATCAAATGCACTATAAATCTTAATATTTTAAATTTGAATTAGGCCACAGAGTTATAAGGAAATATAAACTGGGAGATAATTGAAACAAAATGCTGGTATTATTCAACCAGTAGATGACGCTTAGCTCCTCCCACCTGAAAACCTCACCTGTGGTCTGGTGTAGATCCAAAGGCACTAACTCTCTCCCTGTTATGGCTGTTTTCTGGGCTAGAGCTCTATGGTAACGTTACAAATTAAAATTCAACTCGACGGAGTTGAATTTTAACTCGTTGCAACACCGTGTTGTGATCCCAGTTGGTAGTAATCTGGAAGCTATGGGTTAACCTGATTGAAACATGCTTTATGCTGAGGTTTAAATGTTCCCAGTTTGTATGAACAGATGGTTTCAGTTTTATTTTTTGTCTGACTGTGTTTTCTCTGTTTCTTTTCCATCCAGGGGTTTGAACCAGAGTGGTTGTACACTGGAGAGAATTTTGGCAAGGTCCTGAATACGCTGCTGGCATTCAACTTTGCCACGCAAGGTAACAGTTCTCATCTTTTTCTCTGCTGCGGTTCAGTTTGCTTGTCCAAGTGAAAGCTCAACACTCTTAGATTTTTGGCTCTAATGGCAGCAAAAAGAGTAACAAAACATTATGCATAGCGACATTTACTTTGTTTTTATCCAATAGCAAATGATTTATTGGACCTTTACTGCACCCAATTGTTTTAAGGAATGAGAAGCTGTTCACACTATTGAATAGCTTCATGTCAGCTGTTTGAATGGGATTCTTCTGTCTGTAAGAGTAATAAAGTCCCTATGGTATTTTTAGATTTATGCTAAGAAGTCTCCATTTCTCTCCAGGAGTAATAGGCTTCCTAATTTTGTCTGTTTTGTCATTAGAGGTCTAGATCACTTTTATTTAATGCACATAAACAAAACTTATTGATACTAATCCTTTAAGGATTCAACATTGTGATTATGACAGTTATGATAATGTTTATTCAGTATATTTATTGTATTTTTGAGACAATGTATGAAAGTCTAAACATAAACTTTCGCTAAATTTAGTTGTTTTCAAGCGCTTAAGCCACTGTTATAATTTTTTTTCGTTGCTCTCTTTACAGAGTAACATTGTCAGTATACCAAGCTCTTGTTTGTTGGTTAATTAGGTGAGCTGTCAGCTAATTTAGGTAGTCAGTCTGTATCTTGGGGTTTCCCTAATGGGAGTGATGGGTTGTCCATGCAGTTCAAGTCTAGATTTTCAAAAACTGAACTTTTATTTATTTTAAAGGAAAAAAACAACAACAATAGAATCCTTCTTTCAGTAATCTGACTGGGAGTGTGCAGAAACAGGTGTGGGAGGGGCAGCGGTGTTTGACTGTGTGTTTGAAAACGGGTCATTCTGATACAAACTCTTCAACAATCTTTGAAACCGTAAATTTTACATACTTCAGCATACCTTGATGCATTAATTAGCCCATGCTTGACATACGTACAACAAATTAAGGAATTATTATTATTATTATTATTATTATTATTATTATTATGATCTGGAAATTGCGAAATAAGATTTTTTTTTGGTCGATGAGCAAAAAAGAACATTAGTAAATGAGTTGACACTACACTGAGGGTTTTGGCTGCATGTCTCTCTGGGTTACAGATGGGCAGCTTGCATGGCAGTGTGTGCTTGTGTCACGCTGTGTGCCATTTTTATTCATGCTTTAATGCACCTCAGACAGTATCCTGTGACCTCATGTGTGTGTAATATTGTAATAAATGTGGTACGAAGGTGAAAATACTGTTGGAATTTGAAACGCCATACAAATCCTGGACTAGCTGCTTCACTGAGGAGTCTTTGTTTGGAGTCTGTCAGATAAAAGTAATACATTAAAGTGATTCAAACACACCACCAACTGTTTAGGTTGTAGATGTTTAGATATCATCAGTTGTTTTTTTTTTTTTTTTTACAATTCATTTCTTAAAAAACTCCAATCATTTTCATTAAATAAATACATCAACCATCCATACAGCATTTCGATTTTTGTAAAAAGTAACTATAATAAAATAATGATTAAGCTTGTAATAACATATGTGTGCAGTATTTTTTAAAGTTGATTCACATGTTGTTTGCCCTTGATGAATTGATGAATTGAATGAAAAAAATGACTGTGCCGCAATGTGAGGAGCTGAAACTTCATTTTACTCTGATCGCTGGGGAATAAAAAGATTTGCAGTCGATTTGCCAGTGTTTGAAGACGGTTGGTCGGGAGGTTTACCAGTCAGACTTTTTCATGTGATATCGATTATTTTTATATATTTTTTTTTAAGTCTGACCAGTTCTGACCAATTCTGGTCATTGTTTTTTCTAAAAATGAAAAGAAGCGTCTGACCCTTAACTTTTTATGTGATTTTTATTGAACTGAAACAAGTGCATTTGTAGACCAAAAATGTTGGTAGCTATACATTTTGATGCAATTAATCAATTGGGGGAAAATAATCAGATATTAAGTGTTTGTGATTAATTCTGAATCAAATCTATGGCTGACTGATTGGTGCATCTTGTGATTGATCAAATATTAATTATTGCAATCTAATGTGAGATCATTGCTATGTAGTATCCTTACATGTTTCTTGCTTTGTTTGTTTCTTGAATCCTCTGTATGTAAAAAAGTGGTGACCACTAAACAGACGGGGTTGTTGGGCTTCGCTGTGCAGACGGGTTCACATATGGGATTTATGAGTTCCACCTGTCACTGCCTTCAGCGTCTGTTTTTAATGATAACAATCATTTTTAAGTATGATGTATGCCGGCATATGGAAAGCAGAGGCTCTCCTGCTTTTTCCCATCTAAATCATATCAGAGTCTCATGAATTCAAAATGATGTGCTGATGAAACAAGATTACACAAAATATTGCTGTTTTACTGTCGGTAAGAGAAAGTTCCCCTGAGGATTATATCCTCGCACCTTTAATGTTTATTTGATCCAATTTTAGGTTTGAAAGGTTAATTGTGCATCACATTCCTTTCTCATCCTTTGTAATTTGAAAAAGCATCAAACAACAAACTTGGGTGGCTTCCAGTTGGCATGAAATGAGTTTCCTTCTGCGAGTGCTTCTGCTTGCTCGCCTGTGTCTGTTTTATTCCAAATAAAGGAAGGTTACTGCTCAGTGCACTGGCAGAACTGCTCTCATACTGCAGGGCAGCTGATATCTACTGACTTTAAATCAAAGATCCTCTGCAGCAGTGGGTGACTTATGACACAGAGCTAGAGCTGACATAAATCTGATTTTGATTTTTTTTTTTTTCCCTCCATTGGCTCTGCCTGTGCAATAAAATTGCTATCAGACAAGAGCAGCTTTGGAGAAAATATGATCCGAGAGCAACATGGATGCTGCACAAGCACAATCTCTGATGTTGTTTATTTGAAGGCTGCTCTTTGTTTAGCTGCTTGTTTATTCCAGCCTTGTAATGTCAGTTTTGGTTAAATCCGATTATCCTGTGAGTAATCATAAATTCGTAGGCTTTGTTTGCTCGCTGCCTTGGAGCGGGGCAGAGCAACAGAGCGTTATTAACATGAAGTATCTTCAGGTTGTCATCCTCCACTGTGGCTGTGCACCTGCATGACGTGTTTGTGAACCTTTTCCAGGTGAGAGCACTGAAATGTAACCTTAATTTGAGGCTTCCTGTTTCGTCCGTGTCTGTGCGTAGATTGTGCTGTGGAGCGATGTCCTCAGTCCGGTTCGTCCTCTCCTAATCAGACGACGTCTTCACACGCGCTGTCCTCCACCAGATCCAAAGGGTCTCTGCGCAGACAATCTAAATCAGTGGTATGATTCCTCTTTATTTTCAGCTATATTTAATATTTTTAAGATGAAACAAGATGAAAGTCTTTCACCAAGGAGCTTGCATGTTCTCCCTATACATATATGGGTTTTCGCCAGGTACTCCTAGCTCCTCTCAAAGTCCAAAAACATGACTGCTGGGTCAATGATTGTAAATTGTCCATGTGTAAGAGTGTGGGAATAAATGACGGATAGGTGGGGTGCTTAAATACGTTTTAGAGGTTTTTCTTAAGCCAATTTGTTGAAAATGCTAAAATATATTCTTAGATGGCTTTGCAATTCCTTTATATGAAGAAATAATTTCCTAAATAAAGTTCTGGGGGAAAGGCAGTAATAAGTAGAAAATGTAGATGAAGTATATATTTTATGTATCAACCAGTATCTGCTTCTTCAGGTTGGTAAGACTAAATAAATGTAACCTACTAACCTTGATGATCATGACTCATTTTATTTTGAGAAATTTTAAATAACAAGTTGAGCTGCCGTAATATCACTTAAATTAATGAAAAGAGTTTTAGTGTTGCATTCAAGACAACTTAGCCTGCTTTATGTTCAATAAACTTACTAACTTTTTGACCTTTCTGTTCCAGTCTGATTCATTTTCTCTGTTTAAGCTTTTAAGTCGGTGTAGTTGCTCTACTGGACGACTTTATTTTTCTCAGATGTTATAGTCAAATCAAGGCATTGTTTGTTGACTGTCTTTAGTCATCACTAATTACTGGATTGGTCTCAACTTGCTTTGATGAACTTTTTAAGCCTCCCTGTCACATGCAAAGCATGTGACAGGGGGGGGGTGACAAGTAGCAGACTGTCGCCTCACAGTGTTTCAGGAAAATCACTAACAAATTCAGAATATTAACACCGTTGATAGATTAAAATGAACCGGAGCTCGGTGTGGATGTGAAGACACCAGAGGAAAACATTTTACCGTCTGACAATCAGCTGTTTAATATATAAGTTCACTAGAAAAATAATAGGTTGTTTAATTTGGGAAGCACATACCTTTATATGTAAAGCTCAAATTCTGCTATAGTGCATGTAATCAAAAAGTAATTGGGACAAAAAAATTAAACTACAGAGAAAGCTCATCAGGAGTGAAGCTTATGTACCTATTTATTTAATTGCACTTAGTTTTTAAACTTTTATTAAGAAAATATGATGATTATTTTATTATTATTTATTTTTTTTTCATTTTCAAACAACGTGGAATTTGTTGTTACATAATTTATGTTTACTGAATGATACTAATCTGAATCACTTTTGAGATTCAGATTAGAAAGTAACCAGTCAGTCCACAAGAGGTCAGAATCTGCAAAGTTTCCTTTGGTATCAACCAGGAAAAACGTGAGCACCGCGTTTCTAGTTTAGATCGCCTAACTAATCGAGGTGGGAAATTATCTGCAATCAGTCTCGACTGGATTCACATCCGTCCAAATAGATTATAGAGGACAGATGTTGGTGAAAGCTCTACATCACTTTTTTTTATCTAGTAAATGTCTAATTGTGAAAATATAGGCATTATTACCGGTAATATCTCACCAGTATGTTACCATGTGCAGACATAAATCTTTACTGAAACTGTGGAAACACTAGTTTTGCTGGTGACTGGACCTGACCCAGCTGTTCAAACAGGAAATGTCTGAAAACGGCGGCGGCGGGCAGGTGATGGTGAAGGCCCGCTTCAACTTCAAGCAGAACAACGAGGACGAGCTGTCCTTCAGCAAAGGTGAAGTGATCATCGTCACGCGGCAGGAGGACGGCGGGTGGTGGGAGGGGACGCTCAACGGCAAGACGGGCTGGTTCCCTAGCAACTACGTTCGAGAGATCAAACCATGCGGTGAGTTTAGTTTCCCTTCTCTGACAATAATCCCGTCTTTCAGCTTTGATAGCATTGGTCTGAAAATGTTGAATTTTATGCATTTAATGGACTCAGTCAATTAAGTGGTCCATTTAATGGACTCCTAGTCCATTAAACTCTCCAATGCAATTGGAGAGTTTTCACTTTTGCTTATAATGCTCATATATAGCTTGACTGAGAATAATTTAATGACATAATTGAAGTTAGAAATGTTGATGATGTAGCTTGTTTGGTAAATATATTCTGTTATTGTCTCTGAATTCCTCCTCAGAAAAACCACTATCTCCTAAAGGAATTCCTCTGACCAAGAACTATTTCAGTGTGGTGAGTTTCCATCAAATGTTATTAAAAATGCACATTCAGGTGTAAAATGGATTATCTATTCCTACTTATATTGGCTAAAATCAAACAAAGGTGTATCAGCCCTGTTTTAAATTCAGACATTTGATTTAGTGTCCTGCTTGCTGTTGAAGGGAGAGTAAACATCATGGTGAAATCAAAACCTGCAAATAGAAGATTGTAGCAGCTTATCCCACTGGTTAAGAACTTAAAGAGGCCTCAGAAGAATTTCAAATCAGTTGTTATGCTGTACAAAAACTAATCTATGAGTGGGAAGCAATCAAAATAACTGCCAACTTGCCCAAATCGGGCCATTCAAGCGAGTTTACCTCGACAGTGGACGGCAAGATGCTAAAAGAAACATCTGAAAACCCTAAAATTTCATTATGGGACCTACAACAAACTGTACATATTTAACTTCCATGAGAGCTGTGCAAGGAGGAACCATAATTTGCTCTTAAAAACATGATGGCCTGACTCAAGTTTGCCCAAGCAAGTGTAGACAAGGACTTGGGCTTCTGGAAAGTTTGTTCTTGGACATATGAGTCTGTAATTCAATTATTTGGACTCTTGAACAAAGTAAATGCAACTTTTTAGAAAAAGAACATTGTGGTAGAAATGTCATGGTTTGGGCCTGGACCTACTGCAGGTGCCCGTAATACATTTCTTAAATTTATTTTTTGTTTAATGAGTAAAACAGGATTAACCTTTGATTTTTAGTGGGGCTGGGAGTTCAGAAAAAACTAATTAATTAAATTAACGTACTAACGAAATAAATGGCACATAAATGGATAAATAATTCTTAATTTGCCACAAGTTGGCCGTTTTTATAAGTTATTTTCAGAACATGGAAGGTTTTTATAAGATCAGATTATTTTAAATATTCTCTCTGTTTTGTTTTTCACAGGTGGTTCAGGACATCTTGGATCATGAGCGGGAGTTTGTTAAAGAGTTACAAACTGTGCTCACTTGTTACCTCCGACCCCTGCAAGCTAGCGACAAGTAAGAACAAAACAATGACATGGGTCCATTACTGGCTCTTACACTAGGAGTCTGAATTTTGACCTATCCTTTTGGGTAATTGAAAAAAATAAAAAAATAATATTGGTAGCAATATATTTATCACAAGTAAAGTCATGGTGAAGGTTTGTACACCATCTTTCACTTTCAGTTTTTAAGTATGAAGATTAGTGAAGTGCAACTTTGGATAAATAACAGATCATTTCTGTTATTTAACTAAGTTGTTGGTTCTGAGGAAATTTAGAGTATAAATAGCAGTCAGGAGCTGCACAATTAAATCTATTTAGCAAGAGTTGGCTCCTCTGTGAAAGCAGAAGTTGTGCCAGTTTTTTGGTCTGAGTTTTGAGGTGTGTTTTAATATATTGCCATGAAACAAAGACCTCAGCTATGACTTTGGAGAAGCAATAAAATATTTTGTTGCCCATCAATCTAAGAAGGAGTGTAAAGCAATATTTGTCAACTAAAATCCATCATCTTATAGTGAGAAAAATTATTTTCAAATGGAAACGTTCTAGTTGGCTCCCAATCTTACAGAAGTGATGTTTCAACTTGAAGTTACGCAGTGCAAGGCTAAGAGGGACTGGAACAAACCCAAAGACCAAAGACTAGACCCTTAAAGACATAAGTTAGAGTTGGTGAACAGCCTCTTTTCTTTAAAATATTAATGGCAACAATGCTCAGTTCTGCTAATTTAGCAAACCAACAGTTTAGCAAAAAAGCTACATTTGATGTTAGTGGGATCGTTGGAGACTTTGTCATGAAAAAACATTTCATTGAGGGAAATTTTATTTATTTGCAATTGATTTCATTGGTTCAATATTCACCAAAAATATCACAAGGCAATGCTTTCCAAATATCTTGCAGCAGCAAACTAAATGTATCCAAATGAAGCATATTTTACTGTCAGGCACAGAGGTGAAAGGCAGAGAAACTGGGTCATGAACCAGGACGATGACCTGAAGCACAAGACAATCTCATGTCAAAAAGGAAAAAAAACAAGACTGAAGATAGAACTTTTTTAACCAATATCAGTCTGATTAAAATACTGTGGTGTGACCTAAATGCATTTGTGTAAAAATAATCTACTGCTCACAGATATGTATAGTGAGCAAAGCTTGTCCATAATGATGTGAGAGGTTACAGAAAAACTGAAGTTGTTGCTCTTAAAGGTGTTTTTATAAGCTGCTGAATCATTGCATGCCATTTTTTCACACACCACTTCTCCATTTTGCTTCAGTAAAAAAATAAAAATAAAAAAACAGGGTATGATATGTTACACGTTGTTATTCCTCTGAGGTTGAATCAATCTAATTTTATTCCCAGAGAAAAACGAGTCTTTTTTTTCTCCACCATGTTCTAAAATATAAAACTTTAGAAGTGATTTAAAAGTTACTACAATGATGGCAAAAGTTACCATAGTTTAGAACAGTCTGGATTAATTTTCACATTGTTTTCTAATATTTAACTTTCATTAATAAGTCACATTTTAGAAAAGGCTGACTGTTGTCCGTGTTCATGCTCACTCCTGCGTGTTCAGGTTAAGTAGTGGAGACAGCGCCACCTTGTGTGGGAACCTGGAGGAGATCCTCACCTTCCAGCAGGGACTGTGTTCAGCTTTGGAGGACTGCACCAAGTAAGTCTAATCACTGATTTATCTCTTCAAACTGTGTTTGTGGAGTTTAATAGACCAGAAGACGACAAATACGTGTGATCATTTCCTTTTATGTACATTTAACACTGTAGAGTTCTGCAAAGCTTCTCACATGTGCATTTTTGCAATCACTTCCTTCCGTCTAGACGCCTCTGGTTGTGCTTCTTTGTACAAGTGCCACCTTGCAAAGTGTGTGAATGTGTAATATCACAGTTACTGTAATGTTAGACAAGTTTATATGAACAATGTGTCAGCTCTTGGAGCATTTATTCACAGCTGAGAAAATTCCCCTTCACTGTTACTTACAAACTGGTGCCAGAATAAGCTCTTAAAGTTTTGCTGTTACATGACAAATGTGTATTTTTAACACAGAATATTTCATTTCTAATTTTTGTGTTAAATATTAATATTTAAATATGAAATGAACATTTAAAAAAACAGTTTAATGTTAAACTTTGAAACGGACGTCATGAATAATGACAAGAGGGAAATTATTTTAAATGTTCACGGCTTTCCAGGTTTACTTCTTGAACCGGTCCTGTGTTTCTTCCTCTTCATATTTTTAACTCTTCCTCTGAATTTCCAGAGTCGCAGAGGGGCAACAGAGAGTGGCAGGATGCTATTTAAATCTCATGAGTCAGATCAAGAGTCTGTACCTGAATTACTGTTCGAGCCATCCATCAGCCGTCTGCATCCTCACTGATCACAGGTCAGCCCCTGCACACAAAAACAGCACAAAAATCAGCAATTTACAATCAAAGCAGAACTTCTGTATGAAGGTTACTATGGTGTCATATGAAAGGTTAAATATGTCCAGATTTTCAATATCAGGCTATAAATTAAGTCAAATGTTTTTTTTTAATTGTTCATGCATGCTACTTTTTTTAAAAAATGTGAAATGTGTTTGCAACAGTTATTTTTTCCACAATTTTTAGCTCTGACTGAGGAGAATAAGTTTTGTTTTGATGTACTTAGGGAAGTATACATGCAATAATCCTAATTTTATCCAAGGCATTCTGCCATCCCCACAAAACTGCAATAAAATCCTACTCCTGCAAATGGCTTGTTGTATATTTCAGCAATAATAACAACCACCTTGTTACATTATTTCTTACCAGTTCATTAGGTTTTCGAAATTAAAGCTTTGTTTAAAACCTTCACTGTTTTTAATTGTTAGTTAAACCTTGGTGTTAGTAAATATTTTTGCAGCTTATTATCTTACAGTAATAGTAGCAGTATAAGCAATAAAATTAGGTCTCCTTGCAGAGGTTGCACTAGATATTCTCATTATCCATCATTTTTACTGACAGCGCCCCAAAATCCCACCATATTATACTTTTACCTGTCACTTTAAAAAAAGATATTAACAATGACGTATTCAGCTGCATTTAATTTTTTCATCCACTTTAATAGTTTAATAATTTTATAGTATGCCACCGACATAAATCTGAATTAACTTCTATATACACATTAAATTGAACTCCACATACTGAAAACCTGAAAAAAAAAAAACTAGTGAAAACATTTACCTCTCATAGAACCTAAAAATCTCCCATAGTGTTCAGATAAACTGGTAAAAAGCTCTATCCATTAACTTGTCAAATATTTTCTAATTTCAGTGGGAAAGAAATATATTTCATTCAAACAGGAAGACGTTTCATTAGACCGGAAGTTGTAATTTTTAAACTGAACTCGTTCTGGTTAGCTTCACGCGAACGCGGATGAATCGGGTATAAAACTGTACGTTCGTGTTTCTGGTGAAGGACACTTAACGGTCTCAGCTTTGAAAACGGTTGGTTAAAAAAACAGAAAAAAACCATCTAGCCTGTTAACGGTCTAACTGTTTTTTAACCGTCAAGCCGGGGACGATATTTCTGTGGAGCTAACATGTCTGGAAAACAGCAGAGTCGCGGCGGATGGAGGAAAACTTTATGGAATCCAGAAACGAGAAAGTTTTTCGGGCGAACAGGGGAGAGTTGGCTTAAAATCTCCGCGTACTATGTGATTTTCTACGCATTCCTCGGTGGGATTTTCATCGGGACCATTCTGGTTTTGCTAATGACGTTAAGTGCGTACAAACCCAAATACCAGGACAGAATTGTTCCCTCAGGTCTGTCATTCTCACCCTACGCCGCCAACTTTGACATCATTTTCAAGAAGGACGACCCGTCTTCATATGAGAAGTATGTCAACAGCTTGAAGAAGTTTATTGAGCAATATAATGATGAGAAGCAGACTGACGACATGAAATTCGAGGATTGTGGAGCCATCCCGAAGTCATACACTGAACGCGGCGAACTGGACAGTAAAGCAGGACAGAGGAAAAGTTGCCGTTTCAGCAGAAGGGAGCTGCAAGACTGCTCCGGGCAAAACGACACCACCTTTGGCTTTAAGGAGGGAAAGCCGTGCCTCATTCTCAAGCTCAACAGGATGATCAATTTCAGACCTACACCTCCTTCCAGCAACGATTCGCTTCCAGATGCTCTGAAAGGCAAATCCTTTGATAACTTAATGCCCGTTCACTGCACGAATAGGTTTGAGGTAGACAAAGGCAAGATCGGAGAGATCAAGTACTTTGGCTTCGCGGGGCGCGGAGGTTTCCCTCTCCAGTACTACCCTTACTACGGCAAAATGCTGCATCCCAATTACCTGCAGCCTCTGGTGGGCGTCAAGTTCACCAACGTCACCATGAACAAGGAGCTCAAGGTCGAGTGCAGAGTGTACGGGGGCGGCTACGAGAAGGGCAGCCTTGATGGATTATTTTACGTTCACCTCACTGTGAAACAGTGACCCCAGACACGACATGGTGGCAAAATAAAAAATAAAAAAAAAAAACGTAGAAAGATATTCAAGAGTTCAGATAACTTATATTTGATTTTTCGTGTTTTCTTACCAGAATTAAAATAGAATCTAAAATACAGGGCGGTAGCAATAGCAAATACTCTTTCTACACTTAATGATTGGGGTGGCGGGGGATGACTGGGATGTTCATCGATTATTGTAAAAACTTGCAGTTTCACTACTGATATGTAGCCAGCTGTGTCTCTGTCGCCATGGTGTTTCATCCTTATGTGGTTTATATATTGAAGTGTCCAGGCTTTGTAGGGTCCTCTGTTTTATTTTTACTTTAGTGCTCCATGCCTGGGCAGCTGTTCATTTATGTGAGTGCGTAGAGGTTTTGTCAGTGTGTTTAGACTCTGTTGTACCTTTAAGGTGTTAAGATGTTTGTGTTATGTTTTGTTTTCATAAATTTTCCTTATTCAAGTTTGCCATAGAAGAATGTTTGTTCACGTTTTGTTCAGCTTCACAATAAAATTGGTTTTGGATAGGATTTTACTTCAATAACATTTGTTCTTTCTACTGGTATAAGTTTCATATCAATAAGACAATAGACAGGGATACATATATTGGCAGGCTATTGATTAGAATAATAATTAATAATACATGTTTTGGCTCCCACTGCTAAATAAAGAGTAAAGAATGAAATAACTTTTTGCACATAACCACACTTCTCTTAACTGCTGGTATGAGTTAGAATAATATTTGGGGAAAATAGATGGGGCATGCAGATATTGGCAGGCACAAAATCCAACACATGCAACCCCTGGCTAACATGGAGAAATAGAGTTAAGAGTGAAATAACCTTTTCTACATAATCGCACTTGTTCTATGAACTGATGGTATGAGTTTCACATCAATAGGATAATATTAGATAGACAGGGGATGCAAATATTGGCAGGCTAATAATTTACTTTGCCAAAAAATGCATCCCCCTGCTAACTTGGAGAAATAATGAGTTAGGAGAGATTTCACTTTTTCTACATAATCATACTTGTTCTCTGAGCTACTGGTATAAGTTTAATATCAGTGGGACAATAGACAGGGGATGCAGATATTGGCAGGGTCATAAAATATGTCCCCTCCTACATTAATAGACAACAGTTAAGGGTGATGTAAAATTTTATACATAATGGGCCTCTGTTTTGTCATGCATTAAATTATTACGGTGTTACAAGAAGAAGCAGGGAATTGCAAACCATTAGCAGAGAACACATTCCTCAGATACTGACTGTAAAACATTCAACTCATATGTCTCAATAAAGGTGTCAAAAGCGTATTTATTTCAATTAATCTTAACACGCATTTTGTAGCAGCAATCTCTGACCCATATTTTCCCAATCAAAATATCGGTGTCTGCTCAGCTACCCGCTGAACGCCTTACATAAGCAGTGGTATTATTGACCAATATTTGGCTTCAACAGGATCAACAACGCTTTCTGTCCACCAGCTTAGCATACCACTGGCAGCTTCAGTCTGCGGTGAAGAGAGCCAACGTTAGCTCCTCTTAAAGATAGCTTCGCGGATACCTGGTGCATTACGATAATAGAGTAGTGGACGACCTTGCAGGTGAAAATAAAAAAAAAAAAAAAAAACTAATGAAGGGAAATGAGGGGCATAACTGTCAGGAGTGAGTACTAATTACAGACCCTCCATCTCCATATACTATATCCAGAATAAATATTTTATTATTTTACTGCAGGGTTTTGGTTAAGGATTCAAAGTTCCTCACAATGCAAATCCAGGATATGCGTTTGTCATTTTCAAAAATGTTTCTCTTCAAAATCCTAAGAGGTGACAGGAAAAACTCTTAACGTTATGTTAAAGGATAATTTCTAGTATAACCAGAATGAATATTTAATAACTGCACTGTAGAATTTTGGAGATAGACGCATAGCATCTCATAATGGCATTCGAGACCATGCATTTTTCCCATTTCATTTTTTTTCTTCTTCCAAATCCTCAGAGGTGACAACAAACTCTCTTTGGATTATATCGAAGGGTTACCAAAATTAGTATTTCATAATTTTACTGTACACTTATTGAGATAGATCCAGGTGTAGACTATCATAATAATTATTCAGACCATGCTCATATAATTTTTCCTATAAGTATAGCTTGTTGTCAAAACAAGATGAAATTATAAACATCTTTCCTCTACACATATTTTTAATGTAAGTACCTTGCAAATGCATTTTCTTTTTTTTTTTTTTACAAGATAAAATAAATGGAAAAACATGACAAAGAAATGATTAACAGCTGTCTAACAAATGCAACTTCTTCACTTCTAAATAATCATGCATCATACTTAAACCTAAACTACTAAATCAGTCTAACATTGACACACCAGGCAGTCCCAGTCCTTTCTCTTTGGGTCTGTCAGTTTAGCTGGATCCATGTGCAGGCCTTGCAAATGTTACGTCTGTTTGCTGCCGTCACATTGAATCTGTAGACTTTCCCCACGTCTAGGTCTATCTCCGAAAGTGTAAAGGAAAATTATGAGATACTGTGACTTAGTGCAGGTGATTCTGTAATAAAATCCAAAGTGAGTTTGTTGTCACCTCTGAGGAAATTGAGAGAAATCAAATCCTGAAAATCACACAGCTGACTTTGGGTGCATCTCCAAAAAATCTTCAATAAAATTATGAATGATGGGGGTGTGTTGTGATGGTGCAGGGGTTGGGCGCGGCCCACATGTCCTCGGTGCGGTCGTCGCAGGTTCGGTTACTAGCCTGGTGGTGCCTTTGCCGCGTGTCTTCCCCTTCTCTCGTGGGTTTCCCGACAGGAAACACACTTTCCTGTCGGTTAACTGCCAAATGAAGGCCACTAGAGCCAATAAAACACAAGAAAAGTAATTACATTATGAATGACTTATTTTGCTTTTAGAATGTGATCCTTTAATGTATTCTAAAGAAAGTTAATCACCTTGTTGGATTTGAAATTAATTCCTGAAAATGAGTTATATTCATATCCCGTATAAGCATTGTGAGGCACTTTGACATGGTATTTCTCCAAAGTCATACAGTAAAATTATGAAATATGTATTCTGGTTTTAGTATAGGCCATCTACCAAAAATAATCCAAAAAGTTTGTTGAAACCTCTTCAAAAAATTTGAGAAATACATTCCTGGAAATGAGACTGTGTATGCTGCATCGGTATTATGAGCTACATTGTATTTCTCCAAAACCGTACAGTTAAATTGTGAATTTTAAGTAAAATTATTCTGATCATAGTAGAGGCGACTCTTTTAGCATAATCTTACCTCTGATTTCTTAGAATTAGTTTCTTTCCCCTCCCCCCTTGTCTTCATGTGCAACTACTTCTCGTAATTCACCATGTATACATGGGATACTACATTGCCTCTGATTTTCTCTAACTTTTATACCAGAGACTTTAGCACTGGATTCATAAACGTCATACGTTGAAAAAAATGCATGACATTTTTCCATTATAAAAATGGATAAATGAAGTTGCATCAAGGAGTGACATCTCCACTAAAACAGATTTTCAGTCTACTTAGCCTGATCATAAGCTTTACAATATGAATTAAGAATGAGCAGATGTTAAGAGTATCAACAATACATTTTATTTATAATGCACTTTACATTTATAAAAATCTAAGTGCTACAATCAATAAGACAAGTAAACATTTTATTGAACAGAATTTCATCTAAAACCTATTTAATTATGAAGCTGAACAAACTATGAACAAAATATTCTTCTACGGCGAACTTGAATAAGAAAATGCATGAAAACAAGACATATAGCACAGTCAACCTAACACCTTAGAGTACCAGGCTAATATTTCAATTTAGTCTGAGCACATTGACAAACACTCTACGAACAAACACACCTGCAGGGACACATTGGACTCTGAAAGCAGACATGAAACAGAATATCATGACACAGCTGGCCTACTAACTCTGGATCCTTCAAAAATATATAGAAACTAGTAAGGATGAAACAAAGACAACTCTATACATCAGTAGTAAAAATGCAGTTTTAAAATAATCAATGAACATCCCAATAACCCCCACCACCACCCTGCCACAATCGACCATTGACTGCAGAAAGAATATTTGCTATTGTGTATTTTACATTCTATTTTAATTCTGGACAGAAAAGAGAGATACAGTCAAAAACGGTATCTGAACTCTTGAATATCTTTGTACGTTTTTTTCCCCACCATCGTGTCTGGGGTCACTGTTTCACAGTGAAGTGAACGTAAAATACTCCATGACGGCTGTCCTTCTCGTAGCCGCCTCCGTACACTCTGCACTCGACCTTGAGCTCCTTGTTCATGGTGAGGTTGGTGAACTTGACGCCCACCAGAGGCTGCAGGTAATTGGGATGCAGCATTTTGCCGTAGTAAGGGTAGTACTGGAGAGGGAAACCTCCGCGCCCCGCGAAGCCAAAGTACTTGATCTCTCCGATCTTGCCTTTGTCTTCCTCCCTCTTATAAGTGCAGAAAACGGGCATTAAGTTAGCAAAGGTTGTGACTTTCAAAGCGTCTGGAAGCGAATTGCTCCTAAAAGGAGGTTGTGGTCTGAAATTGACAATCCTGTTGAGCTTGACAATGAGGCACGGCTTTCCCTCCTTAAAGCCAAAGGTGGTGTCGATTTCCCCGGAGCAGCCTTGAAGCTCGCTTCTGCTGAAACGGCAACTTTTCCTCTGTCCTACATTACTGTCCAGTTCGCCGCGTTCAGTGTATGACTTCGGGATGGCTCCACAATCCTCGAACTTCCTGTCGTCAGTCTGCTTCTCATCATTATATTGCTCAATAAACTTCTTCAAGCTCTCGACGTACGCCTCATATGAAGACGGGTCGTCCTTCTTGAAAATGATGTCAAAGTTGGTGGCGTGGGGTAAGAATGACAGACCTGAGGGAACAATTCTGTCCTGGTATTTGGGTTTGTACGCACTTAACGTCATTAGCAAAACCTGAATGGTCCCGATTAAAATCCCACTCAGGAATGTGTAGAAAATCACATAGAACACGGAGATTTTAAGCCACCTCTCCCTTGTTCGCCCTATAAACTCTCTCGTTTCTGGATCCCATAAAGTTTTCCTCCATCCGCCGTCACTCTCCTGTTTTGCAGACATGTTAGCTCCACAGAAATATCCTCCCCGGTTTACGTTCTGAAACGGTTTGACGGTTGGACCACGGTTCGACCGTTGACAGGCTCTTGTTGTTTTATCTTTATTTTACCAACAGTCTTAAAAGCTTAGACTATTTTAAGTCCTTCACAGGAAACACGAACGGTCAGTTTTGTACCCGACTCCTCCGGGTACTCGTGAAGCTAACCAGAACTAGCTCCGTTTAAAAAGTACCACTTCCGGTCTAACGAAACGTTTTCCCGTTTGACGAAGATTCTTTCCCGTTGAAATGAAACGCCATAATTTTCAGTTGAAACAATCAGAAAATATTTGACTACTTTATATAGAAGGTTTTCAGTAGTTTATATGAAACTTAATCATTAATTTTACAAAAGCTTTTAAACATTTTCACAGTTCTTACCGTCAATCAATCAAGTTTATTTGTATGGCACATTTCAGCTGCAAGGCACTTCAAGGTACTAAAAGCACAAAATTTCAAAGTTATAAAGAAAACGCCTTACAATAATTGATCAAGTAGGTTGGTCAGTATTTCATTTATTATGGCTCAGAAGCAATTCTTAACAGGTGGGTTTTTAGTCTTGATTTACTACTTTGTATGAGAGCTTTTCAGTAGGTTATATGAGAGGTAGGCTACATGTTTTCTCTAGTTTAAATGAGAACTTTTCACTGATCTTTGTGCAAAGTTCCCAGCATAGTATATGGAAGAGCTTAATTTTATATGTGTATCAGTAAGAGTCATTAAATTTTGATGAGTGCCATCACCAAAATCAATACACATCAAATATGTTGGTCAATGTTTCATTTATTGTGGTTCAAAAGAAACTCTAAACAGGTGGATTTATAGTCTTGATTTAAAGGAACTCTGTGTTTCAGTTGTTTTGCAGTTTTCTGGAAGTTTGTTCCAGATTTGTGGTGCTTCTCCATGTTTGGTTCTGGGGATGTAGAGCAGGCCAGAACCAGAAGACCTGACTGGTCTGGAAGGTTGATACAATAACTACAGATCTTTAATGTATTGTGCTGTTAAGCTGTTCAGTTTATACATGGAAGTTCATTCTGATCAGCATTCCAGGTGGTAACCCATAAAGAATGGTGCACTCTGTAAAATATATGACATCATTATGAAAGAACATTATACACCAGTTCTGTCAGAAGAAATGGGCCAGAACTTCAGTAAACTATTATGGGAAACTTGTGGAAGGCCACCCAAAACGTCTGAGCGAAGTCGTACAGTTTCAAAACTAAAACCACCAAATATTAAGGAAATCTGTGTAAACGTCTGAATTTAAAGGGGAAAAAAGCTGATGTGAAAAATAACCATTGTCTTGAAGGTTGAAAAACCTAATAATATTTTTGAAAAATACATGGAATTTAAATGATTACATATATATAATATTTTTCAAATTTCTGGAATTTCGCTTGCTTTTGGTTTGCTGTAGTTCTGCTTTTATCCAGAAGGTGTCAGTCTTTCCATCTTTAAATTCAAATGTCTCTTAAGTTCCTCTGAGACGTTACAAAACAGCTTTCTGTGTAAACGTCTCCTTCTCTTCCCCTCATGGCAAAACGCTGTATTTCGATTTATTGTGTGTATTTCAGTAAATGCCTCATAAAGGCAACGTGTTAAACGAAATATGCTATGGTCCAGCCTTGATGAAATAGTTAACATGGATGTGCCATATGAAGTTCTGCTTTGTGCGCACACGCACACACAAACACTTGCTTACAATATGTTGAGTTACACACAGGAAGTTGACTGTTGACAGGATATATAGAGTTGTGGTTATATTGAAAACCAGGCAGGCAGATTTTTTCACAGTAAACACATTTGCTTTTCCTCTGCAAGTGCCTTCTTGTTCTGTTTTACTCATTGGTTCAAATTGGTAGAGCTGCTGCAGGATTATGTGTGACTCTCTTCTTTGGATCATGGAAACTCATTGAAGTTGTTCCATTTGAAACACATAGGGAAGATTGCAGATCCTATTTACATAAGCCCCATGAAACAAATCCATGTTCTAATTTGCATCATGATTGTTAGTTGTGAGATTCTTTTTTTTTTTTTTTCCACTTGTTTAATGTCATAACAATGAAGCATAGGTGTTATATGGAAGTCTCACTTACAGGGAGAGCTAATTTTAATTTGAGAGGGAAAGAATGTTGCAGCATTTTGCTGAAGTGTTTCATCATTTCAACAGTTTGGATTGTATTTCTTGTTTATTTGTTGTTATTTATCACCACTTTGTAGTTGTTCGCAAACAACAAAATGGTGTTTTTGTGTGTTCAATAGTGATGAACTGGGTAAGTTCATTGAGAGCCAGGGAGCAAGCCCTTCAGGCATCCTGACCCTGACCACCAGCCTCAGTAAGCCCTTCATAAGGCTCGACAAATACCCAACACTGCTGCAGGAGCTGGAGAGACACGTGGAGGTACAGAAGAATGTATATCCAAATTATATGTCCATGTCCAGGATATTGGTGACTGAAAAAGAACCAAAAAATACAACTCGCATCTTGAGTAACACTCTGCATTGGTTTGATGTTCTCTTAAAAGCTAACAGGATCAACCTGCCGTCTCAAAACTTTCTAAATTGCAATCAGTGTTTACTTAATTAGAAATAGTTTTACATATTGGGATTTATGTGAACATAAATTAAAGATAGAACAGTTTAAGCAGTCATTATGAATATACAAAGATTCTGTTTGATATTTCAACACCTTTGTGTGTTAATTTGCTGTTCAGACCAGATAATCTACATTTATGCTTTTTTTCCCCTATGATGACAAAAAAAAAATTCTAACTCCTGTCATTATTTGAAGTGAAATCATTTTCATTAAGATTAAATATAGAAACAGAGAAGAGAAACAGGCCTCTGTCACAGATCCTCCACTGTGCTACACAACAGTGAGTTTCGACTTTTCCACATTGTTGAGTTTTATTTGCAAGTTGTTAAAACCTCAATCCAATTCTCATAATGGTTCCAGTTAATAGGTTGGACTTTTCCTGGATTTCCTCTCAAAGAAATGCTTGCTGAATGACACCTTATGTTTATGCAGATGTTTGTTTCTTTACATCACAGGAAGCTCATCCAGACTATGGGGACATCATAAAAGCAACAGCTGCGTTTAAGAGTCTAGTGGTAAGTCATTGCTTAACCTTTTATTAACCGGCAGGTCTCACTTTCATATATCCACCTCAAACCTCAGGCAGTATCTCATTCTGTCATGGTGTGTTTCATTAATCACAATATTTACCCTCTTTCGATGTTATGCTCTTAGTTCATAACATTGATATTTAGGAACATTTCTTTTGCTTGAAACTGAGCTGAAATAGTGAGACGTGGTTGGATAAATTCTGGTCCAGACATCATTGTGTTTTATATAATCTCAATAATAATAGTAATAATAATAGACTAAATTGCATAACTTCCTCTCAGCCTCCTCCTCCTTTTTTTTTGTCACATTGTGGGACAAATGACAGCAACGCCTCACAATGTAGTCTAGAGGGTAAGATTTTTATGAAAGTGTGTTCCCTCTCTTTTCTACCTTGTGTCGAGTGATTGCGTTGTTCCTACTGTAGGTGTGAATTGAAACGCCTTCATGAAAGAGCTGGATTAGAAACGAACGACCACATTGAACCTCAGTCAACAACGGTTTGAGGCACCGTTTCCCCGGTGCGGCTCTGAGTTCCTTGTAAGAACCGAAGTGACTCACTCGTCTTTTCAACAGAGCTTCACAGGAAATGGGACCAAAAAAAAAAATACATCAGACAACTCTGGCTTGTTTCATTTGCAAGTTTAATTTTTCTTTTGTGTCTTGAATGTGCGGTTGGGTGGGCAGGGACTCAAGAGCATCTATGTAGAGCAACGTTGGCAGAAATGATGGAAAGTCAAAGATGTTGCATTGTCATTTTTTCTGTCTGATGAGGGAGAGTCCCTGTGTAGCACCTGAAAAAGTTAGCTTCTTCATGCAGCTTACACATTTGGCAAATTAATAAAAAAAAAAACCCAGTTGCATTGATCTAAGTGAAATTCAACGTCAAATCACTGCTGCTAATTTCTCAAGAAACTGTTAGTGATTCAATGGAAAATTCTTAGAAAATATCTAATCTTTTAAGAATATTATCACTTTTTTAATGCAGCTGTTTGTGTGTTTAGTCCCAGTGTCAAGACCTAAGGAAGCGCAAGAACCTGGAGCTGCAGATCCTGTCAGAACCAGTGCGGGGCTGGGAGGGAGACAGCATGAAGAGCCTGGGACAAGTGGCCTACACGTCACAGGTCCATGTGAGAAACGGGGCCAGTGAGGTGAGAGCAGAGCTTGGACTGGTGCAGCGCAGAATGGTCACTTGGATATTTTTTGCAAGAACTTTGTAATTTCTTTCATGCTCTTCTACTGTTGATATAAAATTTCTGTTCTATGTTAAAAGATGAAACTCCAGAAATGTATAACATGCATCCTGTAAAATTAACCTGGGAAAAGCAGATATGTTCAGTTAAAAATATAAATATATATAAATTAAAAAGGTTCCTTGATGCTGATGTGTGCACACCAACTATTTGTTAGCAAACCTTAAAATCCTACCCTATATTCCTTTCTTTGGTAGTACTCTATCAGCTATCTGTCACCTAACATTTGTATACCAAGTCTCAAGAGCTATCAGAGTGTGAGGACAAACATTTTTAAACCACTTAAAAACTTATATTTTCCTCTCATAAAGTCAACCTTTATTGACTTTGGTATGCACCCCTAAAGAGACATTGGAAAAAGAAAGAGAGAGAGAAAAAAAAACTGTTCTTGTCCACACCGGAAATCAGAGTGCAGCAGATAGTATCTGGTGTGTTAGGGATAAGAAAGTTCATCTTTTGGCATCATTTTGTTTAGATCCACTTTATATTATATCTCTATCCAGATCCAGGAGATATTCACCAAAAGTGAATATTGCTGCCTCAGCAGGTTAATCTGTCTCCAGTGTCTGTGGATGCGATGCACGAAATGTGGTCCCCCTTTTGCTGCAACAGTAATTTATCCCACAAGTATCGCATAGAAACCTAAACAGGCCACGTGCAGAGGGTAAGGCAAGTGGTGCTTTCTTGTGGGGTTTCTGTGTAGGGTCGACATCCACGCCGTGGTTGGAAGGCAGCCCAATGTACACATTTAGTTTCAGCCTCTTTTAGTCATGCCCAACCACTTTCCAACCACATTTGCTGTCATTAATTGTTTTTGTTTTTTTGTACTTTACTCATCATGGTCGATTTCCCAAATGAGCAGCATTTAACCATTCTGCCAATCATGTACACGCTAACAGAGAATAAGGTTTGCTAATTTGAGCAAAAGTTGTGGTTTTGCATTGGCAGATGCAGCCTAAGTGTGCATGGCTCTGCCAAGCAGCACACTAAGCTCGTTAGACGTTTCCTATATGGTTCCGGGAAAGTCTGGAATAGTATTTGACCAATTTCCTGGTAAAAATTATGAATAACCAAAAACTTAATTGAACTGTTTCTAGTGTTTGTTTATAATGAAATTACAGTCTTAATCTTGGATTTGACCTTGATTGTGAAGTTTTGGTTTTTGATTTGCTGGTTGAATGTGTCAGACTCATCCAAGATTCACAAAAGAAAACTAGAGTTTTGTTGCTTTTTGAACTTTAGACAACTTCAAATTCAGATTGATTAGATCTGTGGTCAATAAACTGAATCTGGTTATAATACTGAACAATGCAGATAAAGATTTCATAAAAAATGAAAAAAGAAAACACTTTAAAAGTATTGTTTTGTTTAGAAATGTTTACAGATGAAATAAAGGTGCCAATGTTCAAGGGTTTAGCATTTAATAAGTAACTTTGAAATCTAAATAAAGCAAATGCAGAAACATCTGTAAAATGATGTCGGTCACCTTCTGAAAACTGGAAGCCAGTTTCTGACTGTGCTGGCTGGTGTTTTCTGGAACATACAAATAAAACTGCTTATAAAGCAGTTCAATGAAATTTGATTTTCTTATAAATGTCCAAAATTCTACAACTGGAGTAACACAGAAGCTTTGAGTTAAAAAAAGACTTGTAGAAAAGCTGTAGTTACATTTGAGACACTCTTGTCTCGGCAACAAGGAAAAAAACCAGCAGTTTTTCTTTCCTGCGTGACGTCAGTACGTCTTGTTTGTCTTCCTTTCAGGAAAAAGAGGAGCGCTACCTTATGCTTTTCCCAAACGTCCTACTTATGCTGTCTGCTAGTCCCCGGATGAGTGGCTTTATTTATCAGGTGAGACATAATGTACTTTGTATGTACTTTTATACCTATATTGAAAAAAGTCTAGCAATATTTGTAATAGAAATCAGAAAGCATTTTTTTAAATGGAGTGTTTTGGATTTAGTTACACATACTTTATCCGCCCACTGCTCTGAGAAGGGATCTCTTTAGGCAAGCTGGTGGTTTATTATACATATTTATGCATGTAGGTGCATTTTAATGCCATATTAATATACATATGAGGTTTGATGGGCAATTTATTGAAAGTGTACTTTTTTTCTCTCTCTGAGTTAGAAAACCTGCTAATCTCCCGTTAAATGATGCCATATTTGTATGAAAATGCACTTGTAGGCTGAACAGCAGAGTTAAGTACGTAAGTGTGGTGCATGTATTAAAAGTTTTGCCTTTTCTGCAAATGCCTATTGGCTGTGAGTGGAGGCAGTGTGATGGTGTGGGCGGACATCTTACCCACTGACAAAAAACATTGCTTGTCATTACTGACGGCCATCTCAATGCAGAAACCAATCAACTGAAATTCTATAACTAGTAGAAATCCCAAATTTCCACAGTCTGGGAATGAATTAGAAACAAATAACCTAACAACATAAAATGTATTTCCAAGAAGTATTCTAACAATCACAACTTTTCTTACTTTTGATGCAAAGTTCATATTTGTTTCCTTTTTCTCTGTGGCTTTTGTCCAATTCAGGGAAAGCTGTCGCTAACAGGCACCACGGTAACGAGACAAGTAGAAGATGGAGAAAACGCTCCTTATGCATTTGACATCACAGGTTTGCATCTGACATACTGGGGAAAAATTTCTTCCTACCATTCAGCTTCCAGCAACTAGTTGGACAAATATGGAGTTGTTCTTATGACCAGATTTAAATCCCACGCTAACGCTAAGCTAAATGGTGTCTGTGCTGTATTAGGAGCACAAAACAAAGCTTGCAAATGTGCAAATGTGCTTACTTTATCTGTAACCTTGCAGAGATCATGGACTCCTCAACAGTTTGCAGCACTTTTTTCTTTTTTTTGTTGCAAGATTTGACTTTGATGTTTAATTTTGAGACTGATAATGTAATTAGTTAGGAGGAAAAAATCCAAGCGAAAGAGAGATTTACTCCTACACTTCCTAAATCCTCAATTTCTTTTTTCGGTTGTGGTTGATTTTATCTGTCGGCCTAATTACTTGTTTGTGTCACCTCACACTGCCTCTGAAAGAACTCTGTTTTACATGCTGCTTTCTTTTGGGGTTTTGTTGTAGGAGGCATGGTTGATCGCTTTTCAGTGTTCTGCAGCAGTCCTCAAGAGTTGCAAGAGTGGCTGGAGCACCTGCAGCCTTACACCAAATCAGGAAGTCCTACAGGCATCATTTCAAAGGTCAGGACACCCACTCGCACCGGCAGACACATACACTGTATAAAGTCAAACAATACTCAGAATGAACCTTGCACCTTGCTAAAAGTGTGAAACGCCCAGAGTTATTCCAAAGATGACGAGCACCAGACCACTTTGATACTTCTGCAGACTGTAGACGGGAAGCCGCTGAGCTCAGTCGGGACTCCCACACACCTTCCCCACCTGGGTGGTCCGAGCGCCGTCAGCCGGGGTCCCCTGGAGCCGCCAAAGACCAGCAAGCCGTGGACCCTCAGCTGCCTGCGTCCCGCTCCGCCTCTTAAGCCTTCTGCTGCGCTGGGCTACAAAGAGGTAGGAACCTGCAGAACTGCACAAACAAACCCACACCAGTTTCTCATAATCAGTCATGCAATACTGTAGTAGTCAGAACCTGTAAGAAGTCCCCCTCCTCTACATGACCACCTTTCCAGCTTTTAAGTCGTCTCACATTTATTCACACTGTGGGGGTCCTGGGCTTTTTTATTGCTTTTACATTTCCAGCAAATGCACAATTAATCCCCACCTTTAATGAGTTTTTAACTGGTATCTAGACGATTTCAGTCAAGAAAAGGGTTGAACTTTTGAGGCAGTCCGTCATCCAGACCTAGATGTTCAGTCTATTTGTCACTGCGTAAATGGAAAAGCTTCGAAGCAAACATAGGTATCACTGAAATGTGGTAGAAGGTGATGCTCATTCCAGTAACGTCTGCCTGGTCATCAAAAGCGTGACTGGCATTCGAGAGCATTGAGTTCACTAGTGGTTATGAATTACTTGGTTTTTGATGTGAGATGATGCTTGATTTGTGGTCCACGTGGGCGGTGGAAGCTTTCATAGTCAGCACTTTCTGCTAAAACTTTCAGTTGTTACACATTCCTACCACAGAGTCAGACACTGAGCAGACAGCCTTCTGTTCCCTTATGTGTCTTTTTTTTCCCAAGAGTGTCCCCAACTTTTAAAATGCAAATTCTTTGTACTTCTGCACCTCCTCAACTTTTTTTGTTTTGTTTTGGAGTCGAAGCAAGCAGAAGCCTCAGTGTGTGTTTTTTTTTCTCTCCCACAAAGATTGTATCTGCAGTCTTCTGAATTCATATGACTTTTCACTTCCCATTTATATTCTCTGAATGCAGCTTCCACCACAACAAGTTAACGCTGTGCATAATATATCTAAAAGAAAAAGACAAACATTTGCAAATTGTTTAAACCGGTGTGTTTATAAAATAATGCTGGTTAATTAATCAGATTTACTGCTGATGTCCTAATTAAAACATTTGGATAAGAGCAGCTAATGACTTGGGAAGTTTGGTCTAACACTGATCTTTTAATTATATTGATGGAAAGACAATGGTAAAAAAAAAAGTGAAGTTTGCTTTTATTTAACTTCAGTCAGTGAGAAAAAATCTTTACACACACATTTGATATATGTAAGCTTCTGGTTTCAAATGTGGCTTATAACTAATGAAAACCCCAAATTAAGGTTCTCAGAATATTGCCTGACCCTCCAGACTCCAAATTATATCAATAAGTCCCTCCACTTTTTCCCAAATCTGCAAAATTTACACAGAATTCACACAAAATCAACAGTTCCCCTAATTTTTGTTATTTTACTGACATTTTCTCTGAAAATTGGCCAAAAACATTGGGCTTAAGTGACTGATGTCAAGTTAAATCTGTGATTAATATAAAGTCACATTTAACATAATACATTAGCTCAAATATTCTTGAAAAGTCCTTACAAATATTTCTAAATTAGAGCCACAAAATATGTGACTTTGAATTCATAAAAACACTAAAACAATCACAAACTCCTGGAGGGATTGATCAGTGTGTGAAAAGATGTTCAATGTTATTTAATTTATTGGATGCTGAAACAGCTTTTTATTGATATCTTAGCAATTTAATGGGTTTTATCAATGCATTCTGGCACTTTAAGAACATTCAGGTTTTTGATAAGGCCCAAAATGAGGAAGACGAGTTGCTGTCAAGCTTTATGGAGGTGCAGATTTTATTTGCCTGGAGGAAAATAACGATGCAGACAAACTGAGGGCTGAGCCACAGGATGATCATTTTAGTTCCTGCTACGTTAATACTGTCAATCTTGCAAAAGGAGCCCTGACCAAGTACTGTGTACTTTACAGTACATGGACACATTTTAGAATTCGCCAACATTTCTGCAGTGTAAGTTATGTTTTTTTTAAGATGATTGCTGCTTAGCTGTAAGCAGCAATCATCAAAATTAGCAGAAATAAACAGCTGATATATATTACTTTATGCATATTGATTATGTGTGATGTAATGGGTTTCACCTTTTGAAGTAAGTTACTCAAACTTTCATATGAACTCCTGACTTACTGTGCCAAAATAGCTGGCTCCATAAATGCATGCATTACTCTTATTTTTGTAAAACTGAGGTACTGTAAGTTTTGTGTGTCCAGATGAATACCAGCACAAGAATTTCTAGGGCACTTTGTGGTTCGGCCATCGTTTGAGGTCAACTAGAGCTAAATAGCAAAAGCACAGAAGACTCTGAGAGGATTGTTTCTGCACAGTCATCACTTTGTTGCTGCTGGTGTTTTCCGACATCAACCATCTACTGTGGAGGTCTCTTCTGTGCAGTCGTAACTCTTTGCGTCTTTTGCTTTTGCATTGACGGTAATTTTTAACTGAGAAGCCGCAGCAATTTGGACAGAGCAAACGCTCATCTGACAGCAAACACATCGAGTGTAGGAAGCGTGGGACTCACAGATGTGCTTGCACCAATTATGAAGCAGAAGAGGGGGGTTGGAAGTGCACTGATCAAAACCAAAAGCTTAATCTTATCTATGATTATCAAATGTGTTTCATGTTTACAAATTATATGCATCACAAATATCTCACTGTTAGCCACATAATCTGTCTTTTGGAGCCTTTAATGAACAGCAAAGACTTAACTATGAGTAATCAATACAAACTCCAATCATGCTATCACTACCTTCTCCCAGTGCTGCCAATGCTAACTAGAAGCAACCAATCAGAGCCAAGAGAAGGATCTCCTTGGTCGCTGCATCTGGCTGAACCTGTCACGAATGCTAAGGCGAGTTATAACGGCAGATAGACATTTTTTCTGTAACCGAGTTGTTTCTCTGCCATTAGCCCATTTAGCAGCGAGTACATGGGGATGATTGACAGCGCTAAGATCCTCCTCCGGGCTGTGATTGGTTGTTTTTGGCCGGGAGCGGTGCAATTCTTCAGCTCAGGGAGAAAGTGGAGGAGATCGATCTTTTCACAGATTATCTGTCTCATAACAAACTGTCATGACATGCCGACAGTTTTAGTAAATATAAAAAAAAATAAAAATACTCTTTATAAAAGTTACATACTGCGACTTTAAACAACATTTTAATTCATTTTTACTCACTAACAAATCAAATCGTGTAAACCTACTTATGCTCTTGACAAGCATTAGCACTTTTACTGAGGATGAGTTTGAAAACCTTTAAATAAATGGTTGCTATGGATACTTAGTGACCCTAAGCACTTTGTATTGCCGTGTTGCTGAAAATGTGCTATATAAATAAAATTATCTTTACCTTTTACCCAACATGCCACCCTGTAAGGTGCTTATGAAGCATTAAGCTTTTTTTTTCTATGGATGGTGGCAAGATAAACTTGGGTTTCCGTTCAACGTCTTTTATCACAGTTTCAGATGTTTTAGACGTTTTAAATATTGCTGTGACTGTAAATAGGTGGTAGTTTGGGTAAAGAGTAACATTTCCTGTAGCTGTATTTTTTTATCTACTGGAAAATATGCCTTGATTGAATGTCGTATTCGTTATAAGGAAAAATGACCTCATGCCATTTCAATTCTCCTAGGGAAACAGGAAAGTATTGATCTGTATTCAATAGTTGCTGACGAAGTTAGAAAACTTAAAAATAAATGCTTTTTCATAATTTTAGTTGGTTATTACTTTTGTTACAGGTTTCGTAAATAATTTGAGGCCAGTCGTCATTTCCTGACTTATAAAAATCCTCCCACATCTGCTTTACTTTTACTCATTTTGAGGAGTTGTGAATGAGACCAAGAAAAACTGAAAGTCGTTAATAAAGTTAATCACATCATGTGGGATCTATCAGCTACTAAAGATAAAAAAAAAAAGTGTACATTTTATTTCACAGGAACTGTTGGGGAGTGTGACCTAACTGTGACCTCGGTACATTTGTTTTACATAAATGTTTCCTAATGTTCTTTTTTCAGGATTAAAGCAGATTTTATATTTGAGTGCATTAATTCACTGAATAAATGTGATTAAAGGTCAGATTTGTTTATGGTGAGATTATGTTGCTGTGCTTGGCCTCATTATTACTGTTACCTTATGTTGCTTTTCTCAGCCTCTTCTGTTTTTATGCTATCTAATTGAATTGTTTCCCTTGTTGTGTATGAAAAGTGCTTTATAAATAAAAACTGACTTCAAAATACCTTGTTTTTAATAATATTCAGGTAAACATAGATAATTATTTTCTTTTTGCATTTTTTCTTTCGTCTTTACTCAAATGTTAAGTTTTTCATCCTGTTCTGCAAAGACAAACAGTAGGTTTGATCCATTAAGGGTGTTTTGAAATGTTCTCTCTCGTCGCACCCTTCACTCATTGTAACGTTTCATGCACATTTTTTCCCCTTTTTTCTCTTTTTTTTCCGTTCTGCCTTCTTTAGAGGATGTCTTATATCATGAAGGTAAGGTTAGACGTGTCTCTGTTTCTGTGTGTGTGTGCTTGTGGGTAAAAATGTGGGCAGGGGGAGGTGGGATGGGGGTTGCCTGTATGCGAGTGTGTAGAGCTGACATGCCATTGCTCTGTTTTGCTTCACTTCTTCTCTTTCATTGTCTCATCGTGTTGGTTTCCTGTTGTCTGTGGCCCCTGCAAGTTTTTTCTTCCCTCCATTCCCTGCAAGAAGTCAGCCAGCCACTAAGATACCTTTTTTTTTCCCTTCATCTTTTGAAATCAATTTCTGACGCACAGGAGCAATAAAATTCCACCTGAGAAGCTTCTTTTCTGGAAAGCTCAGTCGGGTCTGTCCCTCAGCAATGATTTCTTTTTTGACACAGGCAAATAAGTGCAATACCTATGTTGACATCATAGAATAAAGGATGAACATTTAGGTGGCTTTTGAAAGAAAGGAAAGAAAAAGCGGGAGCTGAGTTTTCCGTGTGCCATCTACACGCCATAATCATTCAAATCACTTACCAAGCAGCCTGAGGCACAATTTGTTAGACATATTAGTCATATTTTCTGCTTAAAGGTGACAAATGGGGTCATTTTTGCCCTTTTCGGCATCTTTAAGCTGCTCTTTACAAGAAGAAGAGTTGGGAAAGCACAAGAATGCTGTAGTTTTTAATTACATGTAGTTAAAACACATTATTCAGCTTAACTAGTTTTAACCCTCTGACTTCAATCACGATGAGTCTTCATGGCAAGACTGAAATCTCTGTGCATCTCAATATATTAAATTCCCCTAAATATGTTAATGTTTTCAGTAATTCAATTCAAAACTCACATGATATAGATTCAGTAGAAACAAGTGATATATTCCAGTTCTGTTTATTTTGATGATTATTCCTTTCAGCAAATTGAAACCTGAGATTCAGTATCTTAGAAAATTAGAATATTACAGAAAACCAACAAAACACAATTATTTTTAGGAAAAGTCATCATACAAATTAAATGAATGACATTCTTCACAAGGAAGATAAACCCAAAAACGAAGAGCTGCACCCAAACATTTTTATGGAAAGTTAAGTGTAAGGAAAAAATGCAGAAGAATTGTGGATAAATGCATCTTTTAGTTGGTATGAATTGAGTTCATCTGAAAGTCTGAGGGAGATTGAGTTGAGTTCTTAAAGAGACATCACTTACTGATGTATTCAGGACGTGTTACCAATTATTGGATTCCTCGTCTTAAGAAGCTCCTGAGCTAAGAGCATCAGAAGGAAAAGCCACATTATTAAAAATCTTTTCATCAACTTATCCTGTTGTGTTATCGTTTTTGTACAGCACTTTGGTTTTAACCAACCACACCACATAAGTATATAAGTAACTTTGACATTGACAAAGCCGCAAGTCAAAAGCATCACATTCAGTGAAAATAAAAGTTTGTTGCAGATCAGTCTGCGTTCAACGAATGTAAAACAGTGTCACGTTTTGAATCGAATTACTGAAATCACATTCTAAGAATTGCTGTCCAGTTTGAGGTGTTTCTAAATAATGGGGCATGCCGTTACAGCATGGAGCAAATTACTAAATGTAAAGAGCTGTGACAGTAGGGTGAAGGTCTGCACTACTCTCCACTACTCACGAAGGAACAACACATCACACAATGACTAAACAGGTTGTCTGGTGAATTACTTCACACCTCTGGTGTTCATATGTTTCACAGAGGAAACTATTTTTATGAATGATTTCAAATTAAATGAAAGCTAATTAGAAAAGCAAAACCCTCATTCATGAAACCACATGTTTGTGGTCAGATTTTTTAAAATAAAAACACTGAATCTTAAGTTTTTACTTGAAATACTTTGGTAGTCAAGTTGCCTTCATTTTTCTGCAACTATATTTTTGAACGCACACGATGTAAGCTATAGAAATGATTAGCTCTTGTTTGAAACCCTTTCAAGCAGGCTGCATTTTACGTCAGAGACGTTTTCCTGCCAGTTTGGTCTCGGTTAGCTCGTGCTTGCTGCCTTGTTTGTTGATGGTTCTTTTGTTTCTTCACTGTTTGTACATTCGGGATGCAAATCCCCAAAAAGCTTGCATTGTGTTTTGAGCTGAAGCCTCATGTTTCAGCTGTGTGTAGAGCCGAGACGTTTGTGTTCCCAAAGATTCATCGAGTTTGTTGTTGTGCTCCTGCAGGACTCCAGTAAGAGCCCAAGGCCGATAAAAAAGTTCCTGCCAGGCAACAGGAAGAAAGACCGCAAGCCCTCTGATGACGAGTTTCAGATAAGGAAAAGTAAGAGTTTCACCCTGAACAAGATCTACCTCCAAATTTCACATAACTCATGTTTACGTTTCACTGCCTAAACTTTCTTGCACTGAATTCATCGTGAAGTTAAGTTATGGAGTAAAAAAATCTTTAAAAACTTAAAAATCGTAATGTCACGTAGCATTTTCAATCAGACTTTTTTGTTTTAGTTCTGAGAAAAGTAACATTTGTCTTAAATTGTTTTATAAAATTTCCACATCCGTTTAATCCCAATTTTTTCCTTGCAAAATAAGTGCATGCATTTCAAACCTTAGACCTCCCTACCATGTAATATTAGTCATATTTTTTAGTTACCTAGCAACTCACTCACTCTGGTTGCCTAGCAACCAGAATGAGTCTGTTGAGCAACTTGAGCAGCAGCAGTTTAAGGTTCTGCCACAATAACTGCTTAAAAATAAAAGCAATGTCATGAAAACTGTGTGGTGTATAAAACAGAAAAAGGTCACACCACCAGTTTGGCAGAGTTTCAGATTTTTAGAACAAACAACAACAAAAAACGGTAATTATTGATATCGACTGATATGAAAAGCTTATATCGTGATGCGTTTTTCAGCCATATCGTCCAGCCCTGCTTCAGCTGTTGGATTGGCTATATTTTTGGTTAACAATACAGTGAAACCTTTCCTTACACGGTAAACTCGTGCCATGCACCCTGCTGATCAGCATTCTCTTTCTTGTTTTAAATTCACCAAAAGGCATCGCGCGTCTCTTTGATTGCTAAATAACAGTCATATTTCGACAGGCACAGCTGCTCTGGAGGAAGACGCTCAGATACTTCGAGTGATTGAGGCTTATTGCACCGGAGCCAGCCTGCACCAAACCACCACAGGTGTGTGTTGCCGCATCACAGACAGATGCATTAAAATGATTTTTGTGTCTTAAAGGGATCAGCATCGCTCATGTGTTCATTTGTGTGTACATGCACAGCGGTACGGAAAGAGTGTGTCCCTCAGGTTCTCCTGCCTGAAGAAGAGAAAATAATCGTGGAGGAAATTAAGAGCAACGGACAGACAGTCACTGAGGAAAAGTAAGCATGCTGTTGCTTCTGAAGAATAAGCTTTGAGAATATTTCAGCATAAATCTTTGCTTGTATTTGGATTCGCCAATCAAATATGGATCCGTTACAGACAAAATCACCTTCATGTCCAAATAAACAGAATGAAATGTTTGGCTTGCTAAAACAAGATGTAAAATAGCACCTACTTCTTCTGGCATGAAATAAATGCTGCTTTTATATTTTAACTTGCAGGAGCCTGGTTGACGCAGTTTATGCTTTAAAGGACGAGGTGCATGAGTTAAAAAAGGTAAGTTAGAATACTTGTAATAAAATGCTAAATTATTTATTACAGGAACATGCTGAGTGGTAACTACCTGAAAGTTGCCAAAAACGCCAAACATATAAACTGTTAATAGAAATGATCACTTTAAACACTTCCTCAGTTTAATATACTTGTTTTGTTTTGGGTTTTTTTAGATCTGTACAGTAACCAAATTATCAAAAACTGAGTTCATGGAAGTTTGCAAATGTTAGCCAAGAAAGTACATCAGGTTTAGTTTTCACCCCTCTGCTTGGTGGGAGGGGCTTTAATGCAAAAACCTGTCAATGATAGAAAGTTTTTGAATTTTCACAATAATAAAAAAACATTTAAGCCAACTTTCTGCCACTTAATGAGGCAGCTGACAAGTTCCCTTATTAGCAGACTAGAAATAATACAGAAATAGATTTACTGTTTCTGTAATGCATAAATAGAAATGTATTACAAAACAGTCAAATGGTCAAAATGGTTTTCTCTCATCATTGTTGGCATCTATTTTACTACATCATGTCATAAATTTATTTTAAATCTGTCACATAAATGATATTATGTTATCAAATCATGTTTTTTTAAAAAATGATAATCATGTTTTGGGAATCTCATTCCAATCCATGCCTAGTTTAACTATGACATTAAATCTATTTTAAAATGGCTGAAATGTCCATTTTTTGTTGTCTCCGCTAAAGACAGTTATTTGGTACAGGTAAGATGTTTACCGGTCGTACGTTCTCAACAGAACCCCCATACAAACATTTGAGCTGTGGAGCTGAACGAAAAGTGAATGAAAATGATTCTTCTTGGTTTTAATTCTTTGCTGCTTTTCTTTTTTCACACACAATAATTTGCTTCATCTGAACTGTTTCAACATTGGAAATACCTCCACTATTACTACTAAATTTAACCGCCCATCACTTGTATTTGTTAACGCCTAACCAGAAGGAAGAAGACGGACAGTGAGCTCATTTCCCACTGTTTTGACTCCATACCAGTTTCGACCACCAGCTTCTCGGTAGTGTAGCCAACATGTTGGCAGTCGAAACAGCTGGTGGTAAACTGAGCTCCGACTCCAAACCAGCAATGAAACCACTTTTGTGGAAACCCCCCTGTGTGAAGACAACAGGATGCTGGTCGATCTCACATGTGTTTGGTCTCCCCTGTACAGAAAACGCTTTAAAGGTTTAAATGGAAATCAGACCTGTCAGTCGCTGAGGTCTGATTTAGGGAACCCTGGGTTCCCACAATGCAACATGGCAGCAACAGGGAATTCAGATCTCCACAGCCAATAAGAAAAATTTCTGAATCCAATAATTATGTTTTCATTTTGTTTAGTTTTTTTAGTCAAATTAGGTCAAAAGATCCAGCTTTTAAAGAGCATTTCACGTTTTTCTGTAGCATTTTATTTGAAGGATTGTGCATAAGACTGACCCTTATAATGGACTTTTAATGCAGCTTTTAGCACAACCTTGCATCTAAAGTGTCATTATTTACCGACGTTTTCCTGCAACGTCTGGGTGCAACTCTTCTCCAGCACAGAAATAAGGAGCCATGTTGTGATGGCTTCCTAAAGGCAGAGTCCCAAAAACAGCAGGAGTTTTTAACACACAGGCCCAGCTTTAAGGCGTTAAATTAAAGTTTCATTTCTTTTAAGTCGTATTTGATATCTACATCGTTTTTATGACAATTGAAAGTAACACAGTTACCTGATTATGCTGTGACATGACACCTTGTGCTTGGGAAATGCACCTTTAAAGAGGCGTGAATACCTTCGCCTCAGCATTATAAATGACCCAAATCAGCTACTGACTAGCATTAAAGAGCCTCCACTCTTTAATGCTGTTATTCCCCCCTATGTTTCACAGGAGAACAAGTGGATGAAGCAGTTTCTGGAGGAGGAGCAGAAGTCTCGCAAGGAGCTGGAAAGATTGGTGAGAAAGCTGAGCAAGCAGAAGAACGACTGCGGCTGGGAGGACAGCAGCCATTAGGACAGTGGACCGTCCTCACAGCTCACCTCTTCGGCCCGGAAGCTCCCGTTTGCAGGAGCGGACTCGCAGCGGGGCAGGTTTCTGTGTGCTTATGCGTTTATTTTTCTATGCGTGTCTTCCGTCTTCACATTTCAGTCGCACATAAACGTGGAGCTCAGTCGCCCGGAGCTTGGTTTGACAGCTCGACGGAGTCGGATCCGTCTCATCGGAAGACCCAAACGAGCATGCTTACTGCCGAACCGCTCGGCTAATCCTCTGTGTTTCAAGCAATCTCCCCCATTTGGACTGTAAGATCCGACCTGCTAGTGGAAGAATTTTGGGGGGGAAAAAAGAAACAAGCTCTCTGTAGCTTCTTCTGCTGTTGTTGGAATAGAAAAGGAGTAAAAAGCCATCGAGTTCTTCTGCTTCCCCTGTCTGAACTTCTTTTAAAACCGGACTGATGATGATCTCTCCAAATCATGACTTTGTCACTGTTGTATTTTATTACCATAGGGCTCCTTGTTGGAAAAGTCTTCCTGTTGTGCTTTCATGATACACAGCATTTTTCAACATGACGAAGATTCAACCTAATTCATGTTCAGGGGGTTTTATAGGCATTTTAGCAAGTCACACAGGTGACTTTAACAAGCTCAATCTCCAAATGCAGCTGTATACCGTTTATTTAAAAACTGCATGGATGTACAGTGTTTCTACACTATAAATTCTGCATCAGAAATGCGATAATCAATATATATCCAGACATATATACTCCAAAGCAATGCATCTGCATAACGGAATAGGAAAGACTTAACTCTGTTCTATTTGCTATTATAAAAGTAGACAAAGAGGTAACCCTTACTAAAACATATATGGGAATCATTTTAACATGTTGAGTAGATAACCTTTCTTTGTTTTGAGTTTATAAGGATAGTCCGTATTTATTGCTAGCCCAGGCATTTAAAATGTGGTGTAAGCCTTACGGAGAACGTTTTGCAAGGAAAACCCTGTTTTATATTGCTAAAGAGGAAAAGGAGAAACTCGTTTTGCTTTGAGAATTTACAGACTTCTGTCTGGGAACAGAGGAAATGAACAGATGTTGGTGTTAAACATATTTAAGTGCCTCCCGAAGGGGTCCGAAAACCAAAAGAGAGTTCGAGACCGACTGGGACTAAACATGAAATATATTCAAAGTGTCAAGCTTAGTTTAATGATGTTATTATGTATGTTGGGTCTGAAAACAAACAGCGCTTTGCTTCCTATTTATGGTCGTGGCCTCTTTCTGAAGACCAACCGCGGTACATTTCCTCATGGGGACGAGCGCACGCACTGTCAACGCTGTTATGTGGCGCACTGCACACAAACGGTGAATGTAGCTGAAATGCAATAAGTGACTGCTTTCCTGACAGACCTCTGGGTAAAAACCAGCAGCCATCAGTCAGATTCAAACAACCTGCAATATTAAGGACTGAATTTAATTCATTAACAAAAAAAAAAATCCCTCCAGATGCTTTTTATTCGCCTTTCACTCAGTGAAGTTTCCTGATCAGGAACAATGAGGTCCTTTTTTTTTTTGTCATCCACAAATGATCCAGATCGTTGAATTTGTGACACAGTTGCTGTGTGGGAAGTGTGTTATTTTTCTTTTGTAGTTTTTGCACGCACCTCTGTTCAGAAACTTCTCAGCGCTGTGTAGCGTTCGATGCAGCTGGTTCGTCTGCTAAGGTGCAAATTTCAGGCTCAAAGGCACAACTTGTCTCACCAGACGAGGTGATCTAATAATGTTGCGGAGACGCATCCTCCCCTCAAAACGACTGTTTCCATTAAGCACCACACACTGTAATTCGAATTTCCCAAGAGCTTCTGTGAGCACTTACTAGTGGGAAGAAGTTCATCTGATTTCCACGCCACTGTGTTTTTGTTTTTTTTTGTGTTTTTTTTAAAGCTTGTTCTATGCAATTATTGTTGCAAGTATTTTACCCTTTTTTTCTAGACATTCTGTACTGTATGTTTGGTTTGATTGTTCTTTTATTAAAAGTTTAATATAACAAGTGGAGTTTTGGATTGAAAATCAGTTTGTAACCATGACAGAAATGGAAATAGGTTTTTCTACATTCTTGCTGGAAATCCACAGATGGCAGGCAGGCTTTTCCGCCCCATGTTCATCTCATGTGCAGCGCAGGAATTTGTAGGTTGCTCAGCTTCGCTCTCAGGAAACCCTTTGCACGGTGGAAGGAGTGACATGCTGTGCGAGTAGGCTGCATCTGCACACCTCCATAGAGATTCACACTTTCCATACTGTTACACTCCATGTAAAAAAGCACATTTTATTTGCCAACCTATACGCTTGAATTACTCATCGAGTACTGCAGGTGTACTTACGAACTAAAAAGGAAACATTACAGTCATGAAGAAGCAGAGTGAAGCTATTTTAAGAAGACAAAAAGGCCCAAGCGAGCCTGGTATGAGTGTCACGGCTCAAGATGGATGGCATAGAGTTTTTTTTTTTTCTCCCTGGGCGAACCTGAAAAATTTTACGAGCTTTTGTGTGTTTTCACATGCAAGAATAGAAGAGCTTTTAAAAAAAATCTCTGCGCAGTGTAGAAAAAAATCAGTCCAGAAATAAATTCATTCTCCAGTTTGTTTTTTTTTAAATACAGTGAAAAATCTCTTTACTGCACCTTGCCAAATCGACATGGGAAAAAAGCAATAAAAACACGTTTCAAGCACTGATTGCATAACTTAAAAAAACTAAAAATAGATGTCAGATGCTCAGGTTTTCCCCAAAATCTGGGCCACCCTACCCAGAAAGCCCTGTGTTAAAAAAAGAAAGAAAAAACACCGCTCTGAGTAAGAGGTTAAACCTTTCAGGGTAACGATGCAACAAGGCAGCCCTGCAGAGGAAGGTGAGGGGAGCTGAAAGGGTCATTGGATTTGTCCAGTGATCCTCTGCTTCAGGCTCCTCACATCCTCCAACTGCTGCCATCTAGCAACCTGTAGCGCAACATAAAAAGCAAAAGCCATCAGCTTTTTTTTATATCTTCCATCAGAAATGGGCTTTTGTTCCATTCTGTGCTATTTTTGAATTCTGAAATGAGATAAATTGATTTCCGAAAAGGATAACTGTGACGAGAGAAAAGGTTGACCTCATCAGATTTCTAAAGATAATTTACAGGTCGAGTTGCCTGTCTTTGTCACCGTGAGAAGGTGCATCTCTAGTTGCTGCTGCGTGCCCTAGAAAATTAAAACCACTGGTTCAGAGCAGTTTCTGTTCTTTATCACATTTAAAAAAGTGCTGTTTTTCTGAACTTTTGAGTTTTTTTTGTCAAATAATACCCACAAAAAGTTGCTGGATAATAAAAATGTAAGTGCTAATTCTTAAAATGTGTAATTCAGCTCGCCCAAAAAACAAAAAAAACCCAGATCATTCAGATTAAATATAAACGTTACTTTACAGATAGTCCAATTTATATAAATAAATACAAAGCAATCACTGACAATAACAAAGAAAAAGACAATGTTATTTAATAAATTATAGTTTGGAAATGTCTCTCAATTCCACAAGAGTTTGTTGATTAACTCCTGCAGAGTCTTCTTAGTATCGATATTCCATCCACAGTTGCAGATCCCTGTTTTGGAGTCCCAGTCCACGCGGCTCCTACAGCTTATACATCCCAAAACTCGTCGATTGCTTTCCGTAGTCCACAAGCGAGAGGTTTTCCACCCAGACGGAGAGCTGGTTCCCCCTGCTCAGCGTGATCACGTCCTGCAGCGTAACTGTGCACAGCTGAGGGTTCAGGCCGTCCTTGTCGCTCAGGCTGCAGTGGGCCTTGGCCACCTCCTTCTCCGCTCCCGTCTCCATGTTCTTCAGCTTGATGCAGCCGGTCAGCGGGGCGATGCTGTGCTTGGAGAAGGTCACCCTGGAGTAGACGAGGTAGTCACCGGGCTCCAGGACCGTCAGCCAGCTTTTGCCATAGTAATTGATGTTCTTGCGGACTGAGAGGTCCATTCTCCACTCAAGGTAACCAGCTAGAAAAAGCAGTAAAAGTTGTTATTTTATCTTTTAATTATAACTGAATTTCTGTGAAAAGAGAAAACAGATTTTCTTTTTTCTTACATTTTTTCTCGATTGTAGCATTTGGCTTTCCAATTAACATGCGTGCAAAGGCTCTGTAGGTTGTGTCTTGCTTTTCTACGGGGGGAAAACCAACTAAAAGGGGAAAAAAACACAAATGCATGTCAGGTTTCTTTATCTGATTGACTTTTCTCTCTAAACTCAGAACAGCAATAATCAGTAAAATCAGTTTACCTCTTCCTTGTGGTGAGGAGTAGGTTGCCTGCAAGAACAAGAGAAAGTTAAACATCAGCAGAAGAATAGACAAATAATTATTCTCTGCGCTGTATTAGATCTACTTTAGCAACATGCTAAATGAGGCCCAAAAAAAGCATGCGAGGTGTGACATGTTTGTTGCATTTACAGAGGAGGATTTCCTGTGCATCTCGCCCTGAATTCTAGTGAGACTTTAGATGGTGCAAAACCTGTGAATCTGCATCAGTCTCTGCCTCACCAGTGTGAGAAAACTCAAGTTTCCAGCTTTAGATTTAAAACAAAACGACTGTTGTTACAAACCACGGCGCTACTTACATGTGCAATTTGTCTTTCATTGTAGTACAGGTATAGAAAACCTCCGACAGACAGAAACAAGTGCAGCGTCACCACGCAGACCAGAAATCGCAGAAGTGGCTTGCTGTAGCCCGCCGATGGGAGCTGGGTCGGGATGAGGATGGGCTCGGGCCTGCCGAGCCGCGGCGGCACCGGCGGAGGCACCTGCGGCAGCGCCATGCTGGTCTGGTAGGTGTTGATCATGATGCAGTGGAGCGGCCTGTCGCCCGTGGCATCCCATGCGCTTCTGAGCAGACGCTCCCCAAAGCAGATGAGTTTTTCTGCGTTTACTTCCTGGAAGCTTTGAGCCCTTCAGATCTGTGAGAGACGTGACCTTTGTGGAGGACGTAAGTGTGTCGTGTGAAATACATCATGCCGTCTCTTCCTTCCTATATGGCAGGTATGTTTCACTTGGTTCCATTTGTTGCAGTGTTTCTCTGCACCACTACGTAAAACCCAACACTTAAAAAGAAGCTCGTAAATAGATGGTGACGTGGTTTCTGGTGCAGACGGCACACTCAAACTGGATTCTTAAATTGTATTTAAGAGCTCAGGGTCTTTTTATGTACCCTAAGCTACATAAAAAGCTTAGGGTACATAAAAAGTGGAAGACTTTTTAAAGTCTTCTACTTTGAACACTAAAAAACTATGACCTCCAGCATCCTCTGCATCACACTAACTCTCACAATATGTTTAATCAACAAAGACATATGTGTCAAATCCAACACCTGGTTTGCATTTATGACACTGTTTCTGTTTGCAATTTAGTTTTTAATGTTAGACTGCTTGTTGTTTATTCTCTACAGAGCAAATATATGAACAAGCAGAAGATTTTTCAGATTTTCATAGTATTACTTGAGTTTTCCTAAAAATATTTCTTTTGTTACTTTGGTAAAAAGTAAAGAAAAAATATTTTGTTCTTGAAGTTATGTTTTATAGTCATATCAGATTGTTTTTAATGCGTCAGAGTTAAACATCACCTCCCACAGAGTAACTCCTGGAATAGTGAACATCCAACCCTGAACATTAAGAAAGAATAGCTAATGGATTCACAGTGAGTCAAAATCTAAATCATTTCATCGTCAACCCAGATTTTGGGTTTTAAAAAAGAGCTCTTCCAAATTTTTCTGAAATGCTTAAATAAAGTAAAAATAATGATTCGAGCACACAGCCCTGTGGTGCTCCATGCTGACTTGTGGTTTTGATTTATCTGTTTCAACAACAAACAGGCCCACAGCATGACATATCCTCCAACATACTCATTAACATTTGTTAATCAAGACGGATGAGGTGAGACAACTCACAGAGATTCATGAAGAAGGCTTCTTATTTTAGATTCCCATACGCAGCAGGGTTATCCATCTGAAGGAGTTTCACTACTTCACCACAGCACTTTGGTTGTGGTAGCAAAAGTTGAGCTAAAGTGAAACATTTTAATGTAACACGGTTTCACAGCTGAATGCACGGAGAGCTGCATTCTCAGTTCGTGCAGCTGCGGTGTTGCTGCAGGATGATTCAGTTTGACTGGAGCTGCTGAGCTGGAGCTCCGTCTTTTCTTTTCGCCATAAAACTCTCTCCATATTACTAAAGCAAATTTAAGGATAATATTTCTCTCCGTTCTGACTTTGAAATGTATAAACAGTTTGAATAAGTTTGGTTGTAACATCTAAGCAGCAATTCTTTTTCAAAAATAAAATTAACTGCAATGTACTCTTGCCATTTTCTACATTTACATAGCAATATATACACTTCTTTGTATTGTAGTGAGATTCAATCACCTAACTGTCGTCAATTATTTTTAATACCCTGTTTTTTGCAATAACAGCTGCATAAAATGTCTTCGTCACAGAAAGCAAGCTGTGCGATAAACCTGCATCTCTGATCACATATAAAGTCAGTGTTAAAGTGAAAAAAGGAAACAAATGCGTATGGAAACGTTTGCACTCCAAGTTTTCTGCATGTGTTTAATTATAGCAACACATGAACCTTCGGCAGGTAGCTGCTGCTGAAGTCAGTGCTGACGAGTTTCACAGCTTCCCCTGGTGGTTCGAAGCGTTCTTAACTCCAGCTTTACACCTGCAGAGAACAAACTAAATATGTGTCAAACTGGAGGCCTGGGGGCCAGATCTGGCCCGCCACAGCTTTTTATAAGGCCCCATCGGGATGCATAAATATAGGCTTTAAGTTGTGTAAATATCATTTCTATCAATCAAAGCAAAGCTGTTTTCATCTGCACTCTGCTAAATTACATCAATGTGAAACAATTTATTAATATTTTAACAATTTGTTAATGAGTTTTATCAATCACAACCAGCCATTTGAGAACATGAGTTTGACACCCGACTTCATTAATCAACATTTATTCATTTATTTTTACCTTGTTTTTGTGAACCAGGATCATTTTGGTCCCTCTAACTTTGATACTTTGCAAAATCAGCTGAAGACACATTTATTCAGATTGGCTTTTAATTAGTTTTATTTTGTTTTATGCTCCATGTATTCTGTTTTATCTCTCCTTCTGTGTTTTTATGTCTCATATTTTGTAAAGCACTTTGTGGTTTCTGACCTGTAAAGTGTTCCATATAAATAACATTTAGTTATTTACTTTCTTGAACAAACATCAAGACAAACTACAAAAGGGATTAAACTGCCCTCTCTTCATTTGGGGGAAGACTTATGTGAAGCAAAATATATTTATGTAAAGTAAAATAAATATCTTTTTTAAAATAAGAAGCCAAAGTTTAATAGAAGGAAAGTTTGGAAAAATGAATTTATATCTTCAGTTTCTTATAAGAGCTTCTCATGTAGCAGAATCGCGGCGAAGCCTTTTGTTCAAGAGAATCGTCAATGTAATAATTACCAGAAAATACATAAAATATTAATAAATGTCTAAAAACAACAAAAATGAAAACCCAAAAGGAAGCGCCCAGTGACGGATGTGATGATGAAGCTTTCATGGTGTGTAATGGACAAACAGGATGTTTCTGCCGCTGCGGCAGCTGCAGGGAGCGGCGGCTCTGCTGCACAGGAGCTGAGGCTGCGAAGGGCTGGAGGAGGCTGGTTTCCGACCATCAAAGGCGGCCGACTGATGGTTTCTTGGAGCTGGTTGTTCCTCTCCTTGAACAGAGTGTGGCTCCCCGCTGCACTTTACCAAGGCCACGACGCACCTGTAAAACTGTTTGAAATACAGAATGAGCCTCAAACGCCTAAACTGGAACTTTTACCTCACAGATGCTTTTCTTTTGCTTATTAACTAGATTTTGATATAAAGCAATATGCTAATTTATACAGTTTAAACCAGCACTTTATTGTTCGTCTTTAGGCAGCCAGACTTTACACTGAAATCATGCAAAGTGGTCTTAATGAACAGTTTTTCAGCCTTTCTGCAGTTTTCTTTTTCACTCATTTTCTGCACTAAAACTTGAAAGATTTGAAAGATGCATAATTCAGTTGGTCAGATTTTTCAGAAAAAAGTTTTGTAAAATACAATTATCACTCAAATCTATTGATATTTTTTACTGATTCAGTCAAATTACTTAATCAACTTAATTTGATTTTTAAAAAGGCTTTTGCTAAGTTTTCTGTTATGTATCAACACAGCACTTAAGTTTAGGAGCCTTTTAATCCCTACACGATAATATAGTTAATAAACAGCAAATATTCCAGTGGAAATTATCAAGAACTTGACATCTCCAGTGAAGGTAGCTTTATTTATTTTGAATGACTTTAATTTTCTGAGCAGATGGAAAAATTAAAAAGTAAGCTGATATATTCTGGTATTTTTGGTAAAATAACCATGTTTTTTTTTTTTAGACCTTTTCCACATTTCATCATATTAGAATCGGAGGAAAATTATACATAATTTATGATTATTTTATACAAAAAAATGGTATATTTAAGGCATGTAGTCAGCATGCACTTAAATGTTTACCCTACAAATGCTACATGTAAAAATAACTATCCACCTCAACACACCTAATCAATCTCAGTCTGTTCTCTGATCAGAGCAAACTGAAAGATGGGCAGATCTTAACTCAGGATAAACTTGGAAGAAAATATTTTACAGACTGAAAAAAGACCGGGACGAAGGTTTAGTGGGATAACAACCCTGAACGTTGTAACGCTTGGGTTTACAGCTGTTGCAACGTACAGCCAGAGCTACAACATAATGGTTCAGTCAAAGTCCAGACCTAAACCCAATTCAGATTCTGCAGCAAGACGTGAACACGGATGGTCAGGATTGCTCTCCATCCAAACGATCCTCAGTGAGTAAAGCTGTCAGCATGCGGAGGTGCTGGTAGAAACCAAAAACCTGTGGCTGTGATTTCAGCTAAAGGTAAATGGTTTGTTAGAATCTCACGCAGCTTGTTCTAAAATAATTTCCTTCTGGTTAACGACTACGTACAACTTTGCTTTGGTCGATCATAAAGTCCCAATAAAATGCAATAACTCGTGTTTGTAGCTCTACAAAATCTGAAAAGGAGCTTAAACATTAAACTATTGTATCTTTTTCTCTCTTTAAGCTTTTGTCATAAACCTGGTGATAATTTTTGTTTTCTGTCTTGAAGTCAGGTGAGTTATCTTATTGTTTTAAAGGAGCGGTATCATGTAAAATCAACTTATTTTATCCTTAAGTCACGTTATAATGTTATTCCCTCACTAAAAACATAACTTGGATGTTGCTTTGATTCATTCATGCATGTTTGAGAAATCATGTAATCTCCATGGCAACCATTCAGGTATTCAAACCTCCTGGGTGGACCTAGCCCCGCCTTCAAGGCGCAGCTCCTCCTCAGCCCTGAGGTTTCTGAGCTGCTGCCTCCCTCACAAGTCCCCCACTCAGCTCCTTCAGACTAGCCAGCAGCAATTAGCAAACATCTGGTGGAAATGCGCATCTCCAGAGCTCATTATGTGAGCTATTTCTCAGCACAACGCTGGTTGTTGAAGTGTCATAGAAGAGACATGTTGTGATGACTTCCTGATGGCGGGTCTCAGAGAGTTTTTAAAGAGACAGAGACCCAATTTCAATTCACTGAAATAAGCTCATATAGCATTTTTATAACAACAACTTAAGTTAATATAGTTACTTGATTGTGCTATAACACATAATACCGCCGCTTTAAAGTTTTCCTCTCCAGAAAAATCACTGTGCTTCATTCTTCCTACCTGGTTGTTAAAGAACACGTAGATGATGGGGTTGACCACCGTGCTGAACTTGGCCAGGATGGACGGCACCACGCTGGCCAGCGGCGTGACCAGCCCCGACCGGCCGAAGGTGGCCATCAGCGCCGTGACTCCATAGGGCATCCAGCACACCATGTAGCAGGACACCATGGACAGCACCATGAGCAGAATGTGTTGCTCTCTGCGCTGCGCGGCCAGCAGGTTCACCTTACCCACCTGCAGAACAGAGTCACAGACAGAGAAGGCAAAAATGACCGAATGTCATCGTTTTAGAAGCATAATCTAGTATTCCTCTAACACAGGGGTCCCCAAACTACGGCCCGCCCGCCCGCCTCCACATTTGGTCCAGAGAGCATTCACATTTTGTTTCATTTATTGTATTTTCCGGTTTATATGTGGATTTTTCTTCAACCACCAGGGGGCTCTTTAGCAGGAACTGTGGGTGTTTGGATTTTTTTTCAACCACCAGGGGGCTCTTTAGCAGGAAGTGTGTCCTGTAAATTGTGGGGCGCATTACTGCCATCTGCTTGACTTTTATGTTATTTAATCAGTACGGTTGTTTGCTAGCGGTAGAGCAGATGAACACACGCGTCTGTTA